AGAAATAAAGGCACATGGAGAAGGGAGCTAGAGAGAGGTATTAAAAAGATGGGAAGGATATAACAGCATGCAATAGCGAAGGATAAAATGACCTGGCCTGAGTTGGTTGAGGACCTACGCCTCACTGAAGGAAAGAAGGCAGAAGAAGAAAAAGAATGTACCAGAATGTTCCTAACACATACATAAATATAAATGTATAATGGAAAGATCACAGAGCTATCATAATCAAAATTTGAAAAACTGACACTATAAATCACAAATAGTATAAATATGTATTTTCATGTTTATATTATAAATTTCATGTAGTGCTTTATAACATTAATTCTTGTCAAACATCTTGTGTGGTAAAGTCTGACCAATCAAGTATGATGGAATGTGTACAAGCGTCAAATAAACCAGGTACATAACGATTGTATAGTCCCATGTTAACAGATGAAAATACAAGTGGTAACAATATTTTGAAGAACAATCATAAACTTTACCTAGGAACATATATATGTAAATGAAATATGTGCTTATTACGGGTACTAGCATCATTATCATCAAGTGCTTTTTTTTTACTGGCCTTGTGGAATGATGTCTCAGAGTTCAGGTGCGTGACACTCTTTGATGCCACGACAAAATGCTGTCAAGAATCTTGTCATGTTGTCTTTATCTCTCTTACCAGGAATCCTTCCTACAGGCAAAGCTTGGTCTAATTTCGTTTTTGTTTGGTTCTCATAAAGTGAGTTGCATACCCTGTTGAGGAAGGCTGTTCAGCTAAGTTTACTCACGGGTCAAAATGTTGGAGCGTGGGGATTGTCGCAGGCCAAAGCCCATAGCCTTAGCATAGAAATAGACAGATCAGTAATAAAATACAGTTGGAGTATGATATGTGGGCTACATGCTAGGTGTCTGCGAGCCAGACATTGCCTGTGAGCCGCAAGGTGAATAGCCGTGCTGTACAGAATGCTGCTAATCAAGATCAACATTTGTTAGCTATTTGTGGTTTTTCTAGACAATTTCATGTTTAGTTTGCCATTACTAACTGAATGGCTAAAAATCAATACCACTGACAACATCAGAGTAAAGTGATGTGATTTATCTCATGATGTGGCAACAACAATTAATACAAATTATGACTATCTCTTTCTGTTGTTTGTGATAAATTGAGTTCGGGTCTTCACCTCTTTCTAAAAATCTGGATTACCTTATCTGGCTATTCAAGGAATATTAAACATTCTTTTGTTAGACCACACATGGGTATTTCAACTCGAGTCCTCTTCTGTTTTCTTCTTGTTCCCTGACGGTAAAATCCAGTGGTAAGTTCTGGTTGTTCATTTACCATTTGGACTTTAAAACCTGAGTGTTGTGTGCAGATCTGTTTTATTGATCTGACTTATTTGTGTGCAGACTGTTGGTTCCTAGCCTAACAGGCAGATGCACTCCAACGTCAAAGGAAGCATGTAATTAGTCGATTCTTACGACATGCTACCAGCAGGTCTATTCTTGTTTTCCCTACAACGAGGCCCTGGTGGAACCCACACACATACAACTTGAGTCAAGGTATACCTATTTTAAGTATCATATGGTACATACTGAGGGTAAGTAGGAGGTAGCAGGAGTAGAAAACCAATTTTTGCACCCTGAGGTGCACATTTGGTGCTGTCTGCAAATCTGCAATGTGCTCAGTATCAGACTTGATGTCTTGTCCTTCCAGCACATTTCCCAGTAGGTTATAAGCATGGTCTGAGTTGCAGCCCAGATTTGTAATATTTGGCAGCAAGTAAAGAACCGATTTTATGATGACACAATAAAAAAAGAAAAAAAAAAAGAATAGAAAGATCTTTTTTTACACTCTAGACGCATCAGGCATATGGGAAGAGACCCATATTTTTACAGACCAATCGGCACTAGGTGGGTAATGTGGTTAGCATTACACCGGCTGTCTTTACTTCCCCAGGACAAACATCCTGGCACCCATTTTAGGCTGGGTCGACCTGCGACGCCCCATACCATGATAAAAATCCACGCAGCCAGCAGTGGGTTTCAATCGCAGTATGTTGGAATTACGAGTCAGACACGCAACACCTAAGCCACGGATGCTGCTGATGACACAATTCTAGACTCATTTCTCTATAAACAATCAACATTCAGTGGGTGATGTGGTCAACATCATGCCGGCCACCTTTACTTCCCAAGACTTAAGATGGAGGCCTTTTCAGGCTGCTTATGCCTTGGAGTTAAGGTCAGTTTAAAAAAAAAATATATCTTGATGCAGATTTAAATGCATGATCTTCAAGCCAGAATGCAAGCATCCAGCCACTATGCTAACATGGCTTCCAAAATAATTTGTCTTGATGGCAATTTGAACACATGATAACTGAGTCAGCAGACGCATGTTATGGTGCCAGCTTCCTGTTGAGCTCATATCTATAAGCATCGTAAAATGTTTACTGTTGCAACCTAGACTGCACTGATATTAATGCAAGGGGCTGACAGAGATACAAGTGGAAGAATAACATTAAGAGATGTATGGGCGGCAGTTTGAGAGACAGAGAATATTCAAAGTGAAAAATATAGCATATTGAAGATCCATTGCTGCCAATGTTTATGGTAGAACTGCACCTGATTAATTGATCAAGCAAGTCTCATTTGGGCTCCGGGGAAGGGGGAGGGGAAGCTCCAAAAAGCGTGTGGTAAAAGGGGGGGGGGGGGCAACCTTCTCCGAGCCCATCTGCCTAAGAGGCAAGAAATCAACAGCCTGCATAAAAATAAACCAGATGGTCAAACAAAACTCAAGACCAAAGTCTGAAAAGTGGATAAACAGACATAATTTCCACCGGAGTTTACAGTCGGCAAACAGTAAGAAGAATAAGGAGAGATAATCCAAGAAGCAGTCAAATTTAGGAGCTAATAGTGTGCAGATGGTTTCAAAATAACCCATTCAGGAGACTGGAAAGTTTAATTCTTCTTCTGCCATTTAGCACCCTCCCCCACTCTAACCGTTCAAGAAACTCAAGTCATCCTGTTTAGATGTGGTGAAGAGATTCGGTTCTCCTCTAGAGATATGGTAGCAGAGACTCAGTTCTCCTCTGCAGATGTGGTGAAGAGATTCAGTTCTTCTCTTGGGATGTGATAACAGAGATTTAGGTCTTCTCTAGAGATGTGGTAGCAGAGACAAGTTCATCTTCAGAGATGTGATAGCAGATATTCAGTTCTCCTCTGTAGGTATGGTTAGGTAATTCATTTCTTCTCTAGAAATGTGTTGAAGAAATTCAGTTCTCCTCTAGGGGTTTAGTAGCAGAGATTCAGTTCCTCTCTATAGGAATAGATTTAGTTCTTCTCTAGAGATGTGGTAGCAAAAATTCGTTCTCCTCTAGAGATGTGGTGAATGAATTCAGTTATTCTCTATAGAGGTTGTAGCATAAATGCAGTTCTCCTCTAAAAATGTGGCAGCAGAGATTCAGCTCTCCTCTGTAGATGTTGTAAAGAGACTCAGTTCTTCTCTAGGGATACAGTTGCAGAAATTCAGTTCTTTTCCACACATGTTGTGAAGACATTCAATTCTTCTCTAGAGATGTGGTGAATACATTCAGTTTTATGGTGAGGTAAGTTTTCCTCTAGACATGGAGTGAGTAGCTCACAGAGATTAAGTGTTTTGTACAGGTGAATCAGTTCTCTTCTCAAGATGTGGTAACAGACACTCAGCTCTTGTCTCGAGCTGTAGTAACAGAGATTCAGTCCTCCAGAAATGAAGTACAAGAGATTTAGTCTACCAAAGATGACACACTGATAAAGGTTTCTTTGAAATTAACCGTGCAATGAACAGTGCTCCACTGCAGTTACCGAATACTATGGTTTTGAGACTCAATTCTCCTCTATAGATGTAGTAATTGAGATTCAGTATTCCAGAGAGGTAGTATAATAGATTTAGTCATCTAGGGATGAGCCGATGATTAAAATTCATTTTTGATTAACCTAACAGTGCTCCATTGCAGTGTCATGATGCTGCAGTGTTTAGTCTCAGATCACCCCTAGAGATGTTATTACAAACAATCAGTTCTTCTCTACAGTGTGGTAGCAAAGTTTCAGGTCTCCAGAGATGTATTATCAAAGATCTGGTTGCCTAGAGATGACATACTGATAAAAGGTCATCTGAAATTAACTCTACCAGACTGCTGTACAGCTTTTCCGGGAATTTCCTAATCTGCCGCTGAACAGCTGTATCTAATATTCAGTACTTTGCATACTTTGTGATAAAACACATCACAAACTAAAAATAACCAACCAATCATGATCAAACCTCCTGGTTAGTCATTGCCAATGACTACCCACGTGTGCTTGGATTTACTTTGTGTGGTTTAATGTGAAAAAATTATGAAAATTCACAATGAAATGAGCGGCTGATGAATCAAGCACTTCAACAGGAAAGTGAAGTAGGTTTAGGTTTTCACAGTCCCACAGGTGATCAATACTTTGGTTGATTCAGACTCTGAGCAGTCAGAATTTCATGAAGAATATGTTCCCAGTTGAAGTGACACAGTCAGTGAGAGCTCGAGTGATGAGGAGAATCTTGAAAATTATAGATTTAAAACTAGATTGATAGTAAAAAAGGGGGAGCATTTCCCTCAAACAGCAGCATTTGGTGCTCACTTTGTGAAACAAGGCTGATCCTGCTGGGTGGATTGGCCCACAAAGGTAGAATATTGGTGCTAGATGAAAGGTAAACCTATTTTCTAAAATGTCTCCAAGGTTCATCTTATTCTAAACACTTGTTTGCATGTAACTAATATTTGTTTATATCATGTAGTTTTTTCTTTATTAATGCCCCGGAGCTTAGGTCTAGGGGGCAGTTAGGTTCAGGGCCTCAGGTCTGGTAGGGTTAACCTGTCGGTGCTCCCCTGCAGTGTCATGATGCCGTAGGTTTGAGATTCATTTCTCCTCTGCTGTGTGATGCAGCTGGTTGAGGAGCTCTAGCTCTTCCCATGAGTTGTGAGGCTGTATTGTAGTTCAGAGCTTCAGCCCTCCTCAGGAGATGTGGTATGGCTTGAGCTGAGTTGCTGTGGTTGTTGCTGCACTAGAATATTCAACAGCACAATGGTCTGGTCCAGCTTGGAATCAATTCTGTTGACCTAAACAGATAAATAAGGATCTTCAATCAATAAATAAAGATAACAGAGCTGACTAATTCAGTACTAGTCTTTTTCCCCTTCTGCATGCGCCCTTAAAAGGACAATTGGCACATTGTGGTTTACAGCTAGACTGCATCAACTGCACCTTTTAGCAAACCCTTATGTAGTTAGTCAACTTTTTTGAAATGCTCATTAAGGGAAGAGGGTCAATTATTTTTTCTCACCCTAAAGTGGAACCCACATTGAAAAAATTATATAAAATTGACTTCTAATTTCAGTACCAAGATATTCAACATATGCTTTAGGAAAAGTCCATGCAAGCATTGCTTTTCATACATCCATGTGTCTCTTTCAGTTGTAACCTCAACTCACTATGTCCTCATTGTTAAATTAATAAATTCTGTCAAATAATTATTATTTAAACTTTGTTTAGAATCTAATATTTAAACAGTTTAGAATAACAAATGCTTTGGATAGAATAAGATATGGTAACAAATGTCTGATTCTTAAACAACTGATAAATGCTAGTAACTACTGCAGAAGTAAAGGGAAAGCTATCACTCACCACAAAGTGTCTGTTACAGGTACCACCATTAAAAAAAAGCCTTGCTCTCGATAGAAAAGATAACTTCCGCCTTACAGCTTGTTCGTTGCTGGTTGTATGTAATCCAATGCCAACTTTATTTTCCATATATCCACAACATAGAATGAACCAGGTTAGCACAATGACTAGATGCTTACCTACCTGCCCAAAGATGGTGGGTCTGAATCTGCCAAAACATTAGTTTTAAAGATTACATTATTTTAAAAAATGAACTCATGCATCTCAGGATATGCCATGAGACATAAAGGTGCCAAGCTGATATTGACCATATCTCCCATCTTTACTTGTTAAAACATTTCTGCAAAAAGACAGGGGACAGTCGAAGATTTGGGAAGTATGTCTACTTAAAATGCCAGTATAAATGTTTCACGGTTCTTTATTAATATCCTAGCCCCAGATGACGTCACAGGATAGTCTAACATTTTAGAGGGTGGTAAGACTGGGTTTCCCGGCTTTCTGATGCTTTTAACGACCCTAAAACATCTAGAATTGGCCCTAACCCCAACCCACCTACGTCCCACGAGAGAGTGCAGCCTAGGTCGCACGACTGCATGAAGCCTAGGTCGCACGACTGCATGAAGGCTAGGTCCCATGACTGCATGCAGCCTATCTACCACCCGCTGAAATATAAGACTGTCCCGTGACCTGTGGATTTTTCCTGTTTGGGAAAGGATAATAATAATAAAGCACCTCCTTCACAATGAATCACAGGTATGCAATTATCAAAGGAAGAAGACTGCCATGGCTTGGACATGTTTACAAAATGCCTTGTAACGCTGTGGCAATGACAGCTCTTTGATGTAAAGGCTGATGGAAAAAGGAGACATGGACAACCTAAGGAAACTTGGAGAGGGACAGCAGACAGGGAAATTAAGGAATGTAAAAATGGTATTTGATGCAACAAACAGGAAAGCAGTAGACTTATAGCAAGATCACTTGTGAAGGCCTTACATGTCAACAGTACATGAAGAGGATAAAGGTATAGAAAGTCACACACAAAAAGAACAAATTAAATCATAACTTATGTTTTGTTTTTAACTGGAAAGAACAGCACATATACAAGTTTCGATATGTCTGACCATATGAATGTTCAGTAAATAAAACCTAATTAAACCTAACAAAATGAGCACACAAACCTGATTTTCTAGTCGTCCCATACGAGCACAGAGTGTTAGCTTCTCCTTTTCTCGTATATTACCATAATATGTTGGTTTACCAATTGTCTGATCAAGTCTGTGATGGTAAAACAAAACAAGATTTATAACAGTGACACATTAATTGTTATTTTAAAGGCACTGCATCCAATACTGTCATAAACAGTCACACTATCAAATATTGTGATAAATGGTGACTGTATCAAATATTGTGATAAATGTTCATTGCATCACATATTGTGATAAATGGTCATTGTACCAAATATTGTGATAAATGTTCACTGTTCCAATATTGTGATGAATGGTCATTGTACCAAATATTGTGATAAATGTTCACTGTTCCAAATATTGTGATAAATGGTCACTGTATCAAATATTGTGATAAATTGTTACTGTAACGAACACTGGTAAACTGGCTACTAAGGAAAAAAACAAAAGGAGAAAAAAAAAGAGGGGAGGGGGACAAGAAAATAGATCCTGTGGGCAAATCTTGTGTCAGTTAAATTGAGAAGCAAAAGATCAAATGATTAGGCATCATGTTACAATCGAGCAATATGAGATAACCAACACAAGCTATACATCTCAGAAGAACTGATACAAGGACATAAGAGTATCCAAGAATAAGATGAATTGATGTTAAAAATATGGTACCTTCACTAGGAAGGAGTATATATATATATATATAAGGTTAGTTGTGTTAGTTGAGTTTACAGGACATTGCAAAACCAACTCCAACAGCCCCTGGCTGTTGTGTGGTTTGTCTAGGCAAATTTACGTCCAGTAGTTTGACACTGCTTTCTTGACGACTGCCTTTCTTGATACCACTGTCGAAACCAATGCAAGGTGTATGGCCTGCAGCTGGGATCGAACCCGGCAATATGAAGCGTTCGCATTGACTTAGCCACAGAGTTGACATATATATATATATATATATATATATATATATATATATATATATATATATATATATATATATATATATATATATATATATATATATATTGCCACCCTTCCAGTGTGGGTTCTGAGCAAATTCTTAGACCCATACCCCCCCTTCCCCTCTCACCCCAACTAGGATTACCAGATTACCAGATCACCCCAACAAGTATGTAATAATTGGGGGTATTTTCTTCGAAGCTGGAGTGCCTCTGCTTGAGAGGTAAGGAACCTACAGTCTGCATACAAACAAGCCAGAATGGTAAAATTGATGTGCACACCAAAACTCAAACTCTGGAACAAGACCAAAGTCCAGAAATGGATAAATAACCAGAACTTTCCACCAGAGTTTACAGCCGGTGGCCACTAGTAAGAAAAAGATTGACTACACATCAAGTACAAGAGCAACAACTATTCCTCTCAATGTTCCCTGACAGTAAAGGTTGAAGGTTTTAGTGATGATGATGATGATGATGATGAAGATAAATTAAACCAATCCTTGACATTCATCCAAACACCCATCGTGGCTTCTCCAAGATCCACACATGGGTTTATGTAAAATATAAGAAGAACTTGCAACAATCTGCGGTGCTTTATTAATATCCTACCCCAAACAGGGGAAATCCACAGGTCACAGGACAGTCTAATATTTTAGGAGGTGGTAGATAGGCTGAATGCAGTCGTGGGACCTAGGCTGTACTCTCTTCTGGGACGTAGGTGGGTTAGGGCCAGTTCTAGATATCATTGGGTCATTGAAAGCATCAGGAAACCCTGTCTTACCACCCTCTAAAATGTTGGACTGTCGTGTGATCTCATCTGGGGTAGGATATTAATAAAGCACCCAATCCGCAAATATCCTAGACAAATGCTAAACAACACACTCCACAAACGAAGCCAGGAACACCAGACTTGATCACTGTAACATGAAGATTCTACCCTCTCACACAAAAGAAGAAACACAGAATCTCTCACCTTCGTTGTAGCTCCTTTATCCGGACCATCATATTCAGATGACCTTGTGAATATTGTTCTATCACATCTCTGACATCATATGGCTTCCGCGCTTGCTGTTAAAATATAAAAAAAAAATGTTAAGAAAGCAATGGTAGTTCTTTAGTAGATACTGCCATTGCTTTAGGAAGTGTCTAGTCTTTCATCATGTATTATAACAATAAGTGTAGGAGGTCATACTTCGCAACTTCAAAAGATCTCCTGTCTTGAATTAGATCTGGATTTTTGTTACACTTCTTTCAAGTGGCCAAGTTATCTAGGTATTTTACTTTGTCTTCACCTTGCTCTTTTTCCATCAAATTTGCCGGCTGTCCTGAATTTATCAAAATTATTCTCCTGTAACCCTTTTGCCCCCTTGAATGGTTGAATAAATGGGTGAGGAATTTTTAGGAATTCCCCAAAACAATTCCTCAAGAAATTACCCTTACACAGGTCACTAATAAAATTTTTTTAAAAACAATAATTAGTTTTATAAATTTTTCCCTGATAGATATATAAAAGGGGTTATCAATAAACATGAATGGAGAGAGACATTATATGAAGTACTTTCCTGATAACTAAAAAAAAAAGTATGTATCTGTTGACTCATGCCACGAGATCATGACCTTTATCACTGAGGTTTATGGGAAAATTTGACATCAACTTGCCTCTAAAAAGCTACAGTGGTCATAAAAGAAGCCATCCTAAACGTTTTTCTTAGTTAATATATTCATATTCTGGCCACTGAACAAGCACACTCAGAGCCACTGGAATGAAACTACACTTTTTATGAACAAGTCACTGCAGACATGGCGGTATATCGGTATTTACGGGACTTTGTTACCAATGACTAGATTTAGTCTTTTTGGGGCAATAGGGTTAACATGCCCACAAGTTTTGACCGTCTACAACTAATTTCTTCCAATAATTTCACATTTCATCTCTTTCTTAAAGGACTATCTACATCTAATTTCTTTAATTAAATTCAGGTTTAATCTCTTTCTTTAACAATGGTCTCATTTAATTTCTGTTTTCCTGTGTTATTCTCTGCACTTTTTTAGCAGCTCACAAATTCTAATTCAAGGTACTATCAAAGTTCTGAATGGAGTTTTGTGTTCTGAAACAGAGAAGTAGCCAGAGAAAGAGTAGCAGTGTGGTGACTGTAGTAGTGATACTAGTGATATCAAGAGCAGCATTTGTAGCAGTAGTAGCAACTACAGTAAGAGTAGTAGTAAAGGTGGTAGTAAAAGTGGTGGCAGTAGCAGTAGTAGCAGCAGCAGCAGACAGAAGATGCTGCACCCATAATGTAAATTAACAGCCCTGTCTTTAATTTCTGAATTAACCAAAGCATTCTTAAATTAAAATTAGTTTGTAGACATTGAAATTATTCTTTTTATGTTAATAAAAATGTGTGATGTAAAGGAGAATTTCATAAATAATTACAACATTACTGAGCATGTTTTCTATACATACCTGAAACTTTCGTCTAGCCACAAAAAATTTGATCTTTCTTATGACCCGTATCATTGCTTTGTGACCGTCAGTCAGCCTGTCAGGACAAGACATAAATGTATTTTCTTGACTAGTACAAACACACAAGAAGAAAAACGGGGATTTTAAACATAAGTCATAAAAGAAGTTATTTAGAGTATCATGGATTTTAAACATAAGTCATAAAAGAAATTTAGAGTATCAAGGGGGGGGGGGGGAAGAGGAACTGTCATTCTACAGGATCTATCTTGATAGGGGCTGGCTCATAAACATCATGAAAAGATATCAAATCGAACAAAGTACACCAATGGGCTTGACTATATAATAAGCACAGAGGGAAAGTGAATGTTGCAGATAGAAAGTCTTCAACAGAACATTACTCAAATCAGCACAACCACATGTACAGACAAGAATAGACTAAGTCACTTAGCTGATGTATTTTTTTAGCTGAACAGTATTATTTCTGGTAAAATGAAATACTCAGTCATAGTAAGTTCTATAATGGTTTGGAGAAACAGTAATGGGAACTTTGGATCTTGGTAGAAGAAGCAAAGGTCAACCAGCTAAAAGGTTTCAGCCAAAACTCAAGATCTTGGGGGAAAACTCAAGCATTTGCAGCCCTGCACCCTGAGCAGGAAGGTTTTTGAGGTGGGGAATTTAGCAGGAGAACTGAGTGGTATCCCAGCATTCTGTGATGAACGACATTCTGCAAATGACCTGCTACATATTGATAACTTTTGCACACCGATTTTACTCTTTCAGACATTTTCAACTGCTTCTTCATCTAACTGTTATTTCCTAATGGAGCTTATGCTCTCAACCAACCCATGATAAATTGAAAGCTATAGTTACCATTCCAGGAATCGAATCTGTCACCTCCAAATGACGAATGCATCTTGCTATAAAAACATTCATTATTTGAAGGTGATAGATTCGATTACCAGAACGGTAACTACATCTTTAGATTTTTGTAAGGTCTAGTGTGTCCTTCAATCTTTCTACTTCTTTCTTTAAGTGCGATCAAAACATTATCTATTTGTTTGTTTTATATAATAATTCTATGGCCTTGGTAATTTATGTATATTTCATAAGAGGTAAACAATGAGGATGGATGTAAGGCTGGCTGCATTATTCAGTAGCAAACTAATTTCAAAATCCAGTTCACCATGAATAAGTTTAGAGAGGAATTCGGGTGAGTGGGTTGAGAGCTTATGCTCCATTGGTAGCTGCACAACAGACAAAAGAGGAAGCAATGATATTGTATTGACTTACACATAACCTCTGTTAACTCTTTCAGTCATATATAGTTTAACTGCAGCACATATCTGTCCCAATAGTTTTGCAGCAAGGAATAACACTGTTTGATCCCCTATAGAGTACAACTTCATTAACATGAACTCACTTAAGATGAACACTTGGTTAACATGAACACAATTTTGGTCTCAGCAGCGATGTTTTATTATTATTAGTTTTCAGCACAGTGTTTGCTCGACACAAACTCTTGATTTTCTGTTCCTTGTAAAATACATTAACCAATGCTGACCATTAGGCAATTGACTGCAAACTATTCCTCGTTATTTGGTACTGAAAGAGTTGGAAAAAAAAAGGTTTGTTGAATCATCATCAACATGTGTCTTCCTTATGCTCTGGGTCAGTTCTATTAACCATATTCCTACTTGTTGCTGTCTTATACATCCAGTATCTTCTTTTGTTATTTAACTGCCTTTTTTACTGCTGATCTCTTCAGTTGTCATGGTGTTCTCCAACACCTCTCTTCTCATCACACTACCCAAAACACAGTTTGGTTTATATTAACACCCCCGCAGCATAAATTTTTAGGGACTAAAAACAGGGTAAGGGTTAAAAAAAAATGAATGTCTACAGGATACTTATAATAATAAGGGTCAGTTTTTTTCTTCATATTAGCAGAGTGTTTTCAAAATAAATGTGGGTGCTTTATTAATATCCTACTCCAAACAAGGGAAATCCACAGGTCACGGGACAGTGTAATATTTCAGGAGGTAGCAGATAGGCTGCATGCAGTAGTGGGACCTAGGCTGCCCTCTCTCGTGGGATATAGGTGGGTTAGGGTTAGAGCCAGATCTAGATGTTTTAAGTTCATTAAAAGCATCAGATAGCTGGAAAACCCAGTCTTAACACCCTCTAAAATGTTGGACTGTCTTGTGACATCATCTGGGGTAGGATATTGATAAAGCACCTAAATTTGTGTTAACAAGCTTTTTGTTGCATTTATGCAAATCTTCTTGCCAAAGCTTTTACCAGACAAACATAAGTTACTCTCAGAGTTTTTATTTTTCCTTAAAAAAAAAATGGTGTTGGTATTCACGGCAAAGCATTTAAACAAAGAACTGATAATTACCACAAAGTGCCAATTGCAGTAGTACTGAAAAACAAAATGATGCATTAAAAAAAGTATTGGTACTGTGTATCATTGCGTACGCCAGAAAAGGAAAAATATTTTTCTCAGAAACCATATCTCTGATGCTGCCAAGCTCTTTCATATTTACTCAGTCAAATTCTAAAATTTATTGCAATATGTCAGAAGCTGTTTTCCATAACATTTCATTACCTTCTTTCTGACATTCAATAAAAGTGACATATTACAATATTATTATTATTATTATTATATTATTTGCTCTATGCTTATGTAAAATACCAACAAATGAGTGGAGCGACTTACTGCTCAGGTTTGTATATAAGCTCCTCATACTCATCTTCCAAGTCTCCAGCGTCTGAGGATGGTTTCCCCATAAAGCTTTTTGATGGGGTACCTGTAGACAGGATTGTCCATTGTATCCTTGGTGACAGACTTTCGGAAAACACATACACAACACACAATAAAATTCAGTGACAACACAACACAGAGTAGACAAAAATAACACAGAAAAATACACAACACACACAGTAAATACACACAGGCTATACACAAGTCACTGACAACACATACACAACACACAGTAACATTTATGGACAACATGTTACGCCCACTGCAACATACACGGACACAACAATATACGGCAACATACTGGGATAACATTTGACAGAACACACTGCATAATTCCCTTTCGGTACCAGAGGAAAGTTACATTAGTTATAAACCAACACATGGTGGGTTCCCTGGCACCAAAAGAGTTAATTTCAGTTTTAACATGGAGGAGAAACTCTCTTAATCTTATGACTAAAACAACAAAAGCATAAACAACAAATTATAATTGCACTGTCATGATTGTAGACTACGCCCAATATGGTCTGTGCTGTGAACTACAGATTCAGAAAATGGGAAGTAGCCAAATAACTGGTAATGCCTTATGTGATCAATTGCACATACAACTACTGATCTGTTCTAACTGCTGCTTCCATCAATGATGAACTGCATTTTGTGTGTTGGACTGTTTGTGTTGGCACTTCTGACGGCTGCCTTATGGTTTTAGTTGGCACAGGAATGGAGGAAATGTGGTGACCTGTTTGCGAGGATGTTTGAATTGCGATTAATTGTAGACTGTGCTCATGGTCGAATGTATCATATAGTTAACACATAAAAGAAAGACTATAAAATATATTGTCATGCTTGTAGATTGTATGGTTAAAGCACACCAGATTTAAACAAGCAAGAAAAATAAATATAGTTGTACTGCTGTAACTGAGAATCTGTTTCTTTAGAAGAGATTTAGGGAATGCAGACATCTTCTAATGTGCTGACATAATATACAAATTTCACCTCTGTAGGTATTATCTGCTGTAGAAGGCCTTTAGTAATTAGTAGCAATACCAGCTATGAAATAAGCCACAGTGGTGTAGCGGCTAGATGCTTGCCCGCGAATAGAAGGTCATAAGTTAGTGTCCGACAGGGCTGAACCTTTTTTCCACAGAGTTCTAATTGGTTTATAAAATATAGGTCTAGCCCTATATGCTCAATTTGGAGAGATCCCTTTCCCTGGGGGAAAGAAGGGGGGTCATTAATGGAGATAAGCTCTAAGCAGACTGCTAGCTGTTTTGCAGAAAGAGATCAAGCTATGTTGGATAAAACCCAGTGCAATAAAGTCAATCATCTCCTTTAACTAGGAAACATGGACTTACTTGGAATGCGTAATAACTGATTATTCATTTCTTGCCCTGTCAAGGAAGTCATGCTCTCCTGTCTTTCCAAACCACTGCTGCCAAGAGAGTTCCTAACACTTTTTCGTTTTTTGAGAAGACTTGCCTTTCTGGCCATCCTAAATTGTGTTAGGAAAAGCAAATATTTAAATTAGCATCTTTAGTGTTTATAAATGGGAAAACATTCTTAAAAAAGTGTTGACACATAATCTTTACCCAGATTGAGCAGCAAGGCAAACCAGAGTAATAGTATAGATGTCCTAATTAAAGCTTGTTTGCAGAGTTTCAACCTGGTATGTTAAAATGGCATCCAGTATATGCATTTTTGAGTCACAAGGGTTTTAAATCTTCTGGGAGCAGTTCAGAGTGGAAAAATCGGTCATTGATAATGTGAAAAATGTGGAATAGTAACTAAACTATAATAATTTAGCATTGATGATAATGATCTTCTTTTTATTCATAGTGTTCATCAGCTGTCAGCTGTGAGATCCATTGGAAAGTCTTAGTTGTTCATTCACTTCTGGACTTTAGTTTTATTCCAGGAGTTTTGCTTGCACGTCCATTTACAGATCTTGTGGCAGACTGTTGGTTCCTTGCCTCTCTGGCAGATGCACTTTGGCTTCAAAGGAAGGGTCAATCCTGTCTATACTGGTCAGACTCCTGATTGGAAACTTGCAAGATGACCATGGAGAGGTATAGATATGTCTTGACCAGTTTGTGCCCTGGTCATGCAGCACCACCACATGTGGTTCAGCTCCTCTGTATCGCTAGCAAAGATCTGACTATAATAAATATATATTAGCAATAAACTCTAGTTACGCCAATCAAAATACAACTTTTTAACATTTCTATAAAATAATGACAGCGACATGTACTATCTCCTGATTTGTTCTTAACTCTTTGAGTTCCAGGAGGTTTAACATCACAGGCCTAGGGGTAGTAGAGAAAGTAATAACATCGGCGTATCATGCGTTCTTTGGGCATCTAGGTAGGAACTTATGAATGTATGATGCGTTCCTTGGGACTCAAAGAGTTAATAAAGGTTAAAACAAAATTGCATCCGAAATTTGGGCAGTTAACTTCAAACACAAGCTCTGGAGGCACAGCTCTCTTACATTGCACTGGAATAATTAGATTCTATATGAAACTCTATCTTTCCAAAAGAAGGTACCATGTGTAATCATATATAACCCTTGTATGACATGTTATGTTATTACATCTTTAACTTTTGGTCTGAACATACTAAAGAAATCAGGCGAGATATTAAAGTATATTTTGTGTCTCTCAAAGTAATACACTTATGTTCACTTTTCTATGATCAGTTTTCTCTTTGGACACATGCAATGAAATCTTCTGACTGAACATCAAACAAATGCTTTGTCTACAAATAAATTTGAGTATAATTAATATTCAACACATTGTTTCTCGTCCTGGCTGTACACTTTCTGAGACTGCTGTTCATTCATCTTTTGATATTATCCCCCACTTGCATCGCTGTCTGTCTTTTGCTCACTTGCTCTCAGCTGTTTCCTTCAGTATTGCTATTCTTTTTTTCCTGCCCTTTATCCTGCAGTGGAGCATGGACCTCAAACTAGCTCACGCCAAGCCATCTTATTGTTTGCTATTGCATATAGCTCATCACATGTTCTCCTTATCTTTTAACTGAACTCTCTAGCTCTTTTTTTTATTTTGCATGTGTTGTTTGGTCTTCCTTTATTTCTATACCATTGTGAATTACGATGCAAAGACATTCTATGAATAGTGTTCTCAGATTTTCTCAACATGTGTCTTATCCAACGCCAGCATCCTTTCTTCACCTTTTGATTCTCTGGAACTTGTTTAGTTCTCTCCCAAACTGCAACATTCGTGACTCTATCCTACCATTTAATTCTCTGAATTCTGCACACGCACTAGTTAATAAATGTTTGTAGTTTACTAGTAATTGTTTTAGTTATTTTCTATGTTTCCACTCCATACAACATTACTGCAGTATGGTTATTATAAAAGTGTTATGTCTTTCAATTTGGCTGAAATAATTCCCTGCTCTCTCTCTCTCTCTCTCTCTCTCTCTCTCTCTCTCTAAGCAACTTTCCATCACTCCCAGTCTCCCCAGAATCTCAGTATGTAACTGTTTTTGTTTCAAAAACAACATATTCTCAGGTACATTCATAGTTGCAGGATCAGTTTCTTTCTTTTAATTTGTTTTGTTGACTGTCCAGAGAAGCAACAACAAAATTCATATGTTTAAATCACCACTGATCACTTGCATCATGAGGCTACTAGACTGAAATGGTTGAGGCATATTGAGAGAGTGTCAGATGACATCATCATCAATGAGCAAGTCCTTTACAGAACGTCGCTCTCGCCAGGGCACGCCTAAAAGTATCTTTTCCCTAGCCAGCTCTCCAACCCCATGTGCTTTCAATACCAATGCATCTTCAATGTCTTGTATCCATCTTCACCGCGGTCGACCCCTGCCTCGTCTTCCACAAACTGTACCCTCCATCACCATCTTTTTCCGAGCCACCATGAGGCTTGATGTGGCCAAAATACTTCAAATTTCAGGACAGGACGCTGTTTATGAGCCAGTTCTGCTTGATGTGTCAACTTGTTCAGAATGACGATATTTTTCTTCTTCCTGATACATGGTATTTTAAGAATTTTTCCAAAACATTTCAATTCAAAAGCTCCAATCTTTTTCCTCAGTGACTGAGTGAGAGTCAGGTGACAGAGAAGTGAAAACTGTATACACAAGGGAGATAAATGGTCGTAGACCACTAGGCAGACCAAGAAGACGATGGAGAGATAATATCCAGACAGACATGCAAACATGTGGTGTCACCAACTGGAAAGAGAAGGCCAACCAGAGAGATGAGTGGAGGCAGAAGATATCTGCAGCAATGAACCCCAAGGGCTTAGAATGCTGAAGAAGAAGAAGTCCAGGTCTGACATTTGAAAATGAGAGCGTGTGAAGGACACTTGTCACAACTGTCGATATCTGGCCCATGATGCCCAGACTTACAGGTACAGATAAATTGGTCGTCGATGGGTAATGTGGTCAGAACCATGCTGACCTCTTTACTTCCCAGGAATTTACCTGGTACCCATTATAGGCCAAGTCAATTTGAGAGCCAAGGTCAGTTTTGAGAAAAAATAAAATCTGACTTGATAGAGATTCAAACTGTAAAACCATGGACCAGAGGTGGAGTGTCTAGTAGATACACCACCCCGGCTCTGGAAACCAGAAAAACTAAGCCAATAATGCAAAATTCTGCTTCAAAGATTGGAAGAGATATAGCATCGGTGACCATATTTTCCTTTGACCTTACCTAGACAAGGCAGACGAGGAAGCTGAGTGGTTCATCTGAGGCTTGTAGTGTTTGTCCTGTATATGAATCTTCCAGGTTGCTAAAGAGTTGAATGTTGGCTCCGCTGCGTGGCATCTCCATAGACACTGACGAGAGAGAGGGGGCTTTTATAATTGTTGATAGATTTTTGCTGCATTTCAGAACATGAAAAATATTTGATGCAATAATTCACTCTTATTTAATGTCAAAAAGAGGGTGCTAAAATGTTATATAGATACTGTTCAGCTGTATGGCAGCGAATCTTGGAATGTCAGTGAACAAATTAGGAAGAATTTGGAAGCAACAGAGATGTGGTTTTTGAGATGAATATTACGAATACCTTGGACAGCCAGAGTAACTAACAACAATTGTTTGAAAGAAGCTAATGAAAGTAGATCTCTATATACAACAATGAGAAAGAGAAAAACACTGTTTTTTAGCCACATAATGAGAAGAGAGACATTGGAGAACAAAGTGACAACTGGAAAGATCAGTGGAAAAAGGGGTAGAGGCAGAACAAGAGAGATGATGCTGGATGGGCTGAAATGATGGCATGGAGGGATATCATCTAGAGAGCTGTTCCAGGCACCCAGGGATCATGATCTGTGGAGATGCATGAGCGCCTACACCAGTTGGCAGGACATGTGATGATGATGATGATGTTATTTCTTTGTGTCCCCGCACTTGCTGCTAGTTTTATATTTATGACATTCTCACACAGTTTCTGGTTATGGGTTTCATTCTCAGCATTGGTGCCTTCTTATTCTGTGTTTGGCCTTAGAAGGGTGGTTTGAATCCACATTGTATTATGGTTTACTGATATGTCGCGATATTTGCGCCTTTTGGTTCAACACTTTTGATGTTCGCAAACTCTCAAATAATCTTTTTTTACAACATGCTTGTTAAAGAACAGTGGTCATACCTCCTCCCCCCCCCCCCCCCCCCCCCACCACCCCCAGTAACCCATAAGCTGCCAAGCCCAGTATATCTCTATTCAAGCTGTGTCGATGGTAAATTCAAGAGCACAACAATAAAGACAAAGTCGACCACAGGGCGCTCTGACATAAAGAAAACATTGGGGGGGGAGGGGGGAGCTCAGCCCATTTACACATTTTCTAGGTGGCCTAAGCCTCCTTTAGGTGCATAATAATAATAATATTTATTGCTGGCACTTTTCTGTCCTTCCAGAAGATAATGTTATATTGTGCTATGGGGAGGCATGGTAATCGTAGTACATGGCAATGGGGAAAGCAACTAGCAAGACCTATCTGCGATAAGAAAAGTCTTCTACAATTAGTGCATGGGATTTCTGGATCAATGTTGCCATAAAATATTTTCAACGTGTTTCTCTTCGCAGATGCTCAACTCATTTCCCCTTCTTGACTCCCACTCCCTTCCTGATCCCTTCTCCCGTACATGAGATGGTAGTGGAGCGGCTGGCCAAATGGTTAGATCATTTGGCTCTCAAGTGAAAGACCTGGTTTCGAATTCTCTATAGGTTTGTGGATATAACATTGGGGTTGGCTACTGTTATCACCTATGTGAGAAATATAGGTGTTTGGCTCCATGTGCCTACGTTCTCAGGTGACAGTACAGTGCCCCTACTCGAGAAGCAGACTGCAACACACGAGCATTCAAAGACATTGTATTTCAACACAATGTTCAGAGCGGAACTGTCCATGCCAAATGGTAGGGAAGCAGAATACAACCATCCAGCCCTCTGGCTTTTGCCGGGGGTCCTGAATAAAGCCAGGCCATAAATAGGGCCAAATGGCTGAAAGGGGTTTTTGGGACTTCTCCACGGGTGATCCTCACCCGTATGGTGGCACTTTGTGTCACCGGGTGTCTATTGCTTAGTGTGATGTCCTGGTGGGGTGCAACTTACATACATACATACATACATACATACATACATACATACATACATACATACATACATACATACATACATACATACATACATACATACATACATACATACATACATACATACATACATACATACATACATACATACATACATACATACATACATACATACATACATACATACATACATACATACATACATACATACATACATACATACATACATACATACATACATACATACATACATACATACATACATACATACATACATACATACATACATACATACATACATACATACATACATACATACATACATACATACATACATACATACATACATACATACATACATACATACATACATACATACATACATACATACATACATACATACATACATACATACATACATACATACATACATACATACATACATACATACATACATACATACATACATACATACATACATACATACATACATACATACATACATACATACATACATACATACATACATACATACATACATACATACATACATACATACATACATACATACATACATACATACATACATACATACATACATACATACATACATACATACATACATACATACATACATACATACATACATACATACATACATACATACATACATACATACATACATACATACATACATACATACATACATACATACATACATACATACATACATACATACATACATACATACATACATACATACATACATACATACATACATACATACATACATACATACATACATACATACATACATACATACATACATACATACATACATACATACATACATACATACATACATACATACATACATACATACATACATACATACATACATACATACATACATACATACATACATACATACATACATACATACATACATACATACATACATACATACATACATACATACATACATACATACATACATACATACATACATACATACATACATACATACATACATACATACATACATACATACATACATACATACATACATACATACATACATACATACATACATACATACATACATACATACATACATACACATACATACATACATACATACATACATACATACATACATACATACATACATACATACATACATACATACATACATACATACATACATACATACATACATACATACATACATACATACATACATACATACATACATACATACATCAAACGATATTCTGCGTACCTGTATTAAAGAAGCAGCAGTTGGGATTTGCCTGTTGAAATGTTTTTGTCGCTGTTTTTGTTGAACTTTGAGAGCAAAACCAGAACCCAGAATACCCTGTTTGGGAACAAAATAAAAACTAATGTATCAGTTAATGAGGTTATATTAAGTTAATGAGGTTATATATGTATCTATAATGTCGATGTATGATTATTCGTATTTTTGTCAGTTACATTAAAAATTGAGATCACATCACTTGGGAAATTTCCATAGGTGCTCCGTCCCCATCTTCGGCAGCAAGCGCAGAGTTCCAATTCTGAAAATACCAGAGTAGAACATCTTACTGTACACACATCAAGCCTCTTCTCTGAGTGCTGAGTGTCGGTCAGATACCATGATGTCTTCATTCTGCACCATTCTTTTCAGACTGTAATGATCTGTTTGTTCATCCTCATTGTTCACTCACTCCCAGAAAGGTTTCATAGCTTGCATTGCATCACTTCACCATCAAATAGTACAAGACCAATGAGTGTGTCTGCCTGTTATTTCCAAACACACCTGTATACTGGAGAAAATATCCAAGGAATGCTAGATCTGAAGTAAGGCTTGTTACTTTTGCAATGAGCTTACCTTTAACCACCTTTCTCAGCATGCTTTGTGTGTGTCGTGTGTTTTTGTGTGTGAATATGTGTTTGTCTGTATGAGCGTTTGTGTATATTAGTTATATGTATATTATGGCTAGTTATGTTTCTCTTATGCCCCCCGCCAACCAGGTAAGTAAACATGGTACAGGTCCCTTTTTCACGACTTAAGGCATATCGGGCATAAAGGGCTAGACATATTTTTATAGACCAATCGGCACAAGATGGGTGATGTGGTCAGCATCACGCTGGCTGCCTTTACTTCCTGGGACTGCACCCAGTACCCATTCGAGGCTGGGTTGGCATGGGAGGCCAACCAGGTATGTAAAATAATTTTCATCTTAGTCATTATTGGGATGGGTCCAAAGTTAATGGCTAAACGTATTAAATATTTAAAGCCAGAGTTAAGGCAATGATAACTGACGTTTTGAATCTATGCCGCTAGCTATGCTTTAATGGTTGTGTCTTTGTCAGACAAGTCATTTGTCTAGGTTCAATCTCCCAGTGAATGCAGAACTATTTTTTTCAACATGTGCAACTTTAAAGGTCGACCAAACTTCATAACAATAGATACCAGAGCAGCTTGTCGCTCATCATCATCATCATCCTCATCATCATTTAGCAGCACCTTTTATACGTCACATAACGCTCAGTCTTTTCCTTCATCCGGTTCTATCTATACAATTATGGCCATCATTTCATTGCTTAATTGTTGGAACTTGTATATATATATATATATATATATATATATATATATATATATATATAGGTTGGGGTGAATGGGGTATCCTAGAGTTGTCTGTTGGTTTGCTAAACAGTATGCGACTTTTGACATCATATGAGTGGTTAAACCCTCAGGTAGCAGCCTGGAGGGGAAAACAGACAGACAAAATGTTTTTCTGTGGTAGGAAATTAGACTGTTTGATCAAGTGATGTCAATTTTGTGTATGGTTTATGATTTTTAGTTCACATTCGAAAAAAAAAAAAAAAATCACACCGCTTTAACAAGGGATAAAACACGTCAGACAATTTGCACAAAGAAACCTTACTTCCTTTAATTATTTGATTGTTGACATGTAAGACTTACCGCTGGCAGAGCGAAGAAAGAAATGGCAAACACAGAGAAACACGAAGCAACGATTCGTCCCATCCACGTTTTGGGAACTGTGTCACCATAGCCAATGGTGGTTACTGTGATCTGAATTGTTGAGAGATAGTTATTGTCAGATGGGATTCATGTAACAACTTTGTTTCATTATAATTACAAATAAATGGGCACATTTAAAGCTTTTCATTGAGGAGGGAAAAAGGTGAGTCATCTGTAAAAGTAAGACAAGGAAAAGAAGGCAGTGAAAGAAAACAGTAAGTACCGTACATGTTAGTATATAAGGTATTCTCCTGAATAAGATGTAACCCAAAACTTAAAAGAAATTTTCCAGAAAAATATAAAATAGATTCAACTGTTGCACCCATTTGAATAAATAACTTTCTAATTCAGATAATTTTGCATATTTTTCACATTGTGCAGGCTTTCCATTGTTCATTCTGCACTAAACATCCTTGTGGATTTGATAAGGGTAAGGGCTAGGATAGCATGGTCCACCACAGAGACGCCGATTGACTCTGACCCTAATTCTAAACATAAACCCTAACCCCACCTCATAAGTTAGATGCGTATCCTTTACAGGACGTTGAAGAACCAACCCCCGCATATTTTGTCCATTGTGGTTTTTCTAAGCAAATTTTATCTTAAGTAGTTTGCCATTGCTCCTGAACGGTCAGCTCTTCGTACAACTGTCAACACTCCGGCATTATGAAGGGGGTTCTTAATGAGTAAGCCACAAACGCTGACCCATAACACCCCTAGAATACTGGACTTTCCCGGGAACTCTGGCACTTCCTTTGTTTGGGGTGATTAAGTAGTTCAGGTCCTGGCAGAGCTGGACGTTTCTCAGAAACGACTTCGGTTCCCAGGTGGACCCAGCCTTAAATGGGTGCCAGGTAAAGTCACTGGAAGTAAAGGTAGCCAGCTTAATGTTGACTGAATAAACCATTTGTGTATATAAATATAAGTCTTGCCTCATGTGTCTGTTGCACCACTGGCGTGCAATGGGACCTTTACTTCATCACTTACTTTACACACCAAACATGCTAGTAGTGAGGACTGTTATCACAAAGCTGTGAAAAAATGCACATGTGTTCCCATCTCCTTCTCACGTGCACCAAAAGCAATTAATGAATGATCTGTTTCAGTCAATCAAAGAGATTTTGCTCTTTGATGAGATGCTCCTGCCAGCCAGCTCTAGGAGAAGGAGAAGTACGAGCCGTGAGTCGCTACACGCTGTGGTATTTACTAAGGAGAAGATCTGAGCACATTTGGACTGAATGGTTCTATGTGCAGTGAGAATAATCTGTCGGCTAACTAACAACTATCTATCTTCAACAATTGTTTCAGCATTTTAAATCCCAAAATAATCTCAGGAGGGTGGGCGGGGGGAAATGACCCAGGTCATGACCACAGGTCTGGGACCAAGTTGTATCCCCGTATCGACCAACCTAGATTGGACATATCTGACCATTCAGTGTACTTACTTTCCAACAGTCTGCATGCACATGAGTCAGACCTTTGAAACGGATATACACGCAACAATCAGGTTCTGGAACTGGACTAAAGTCCAGAAGTGGATAAACAACCAAAACTTTCCGCTGGAGCTTACAGCCGGTGAACGCAAAGAAGAAGAAGAAGTTACTCACCACGCCCCACCATAGAGCATCTGCATAGCTGGTGAAATCCTCGCCATTATCCTTCTCCGCCAGGTAGACGAAATAGGATGAGAATATCAATCCTAAAAATCCTATGTACAGAGTTGTGATCAGCTCCTGAAAAAGAGTTAGTGTTGATTTTGCTCGCATCTTTTTGATTAAATTCAGTGGTTGCGTATGCATGCCTGGGATAGTGTCGAGAGAGGTTGGTTTTTAGGAAAACTTTCAGAATTTTACATTTTCTTCTTTTATTTCTTTCTCCCCCCCCCCACCCCCACCGCCCCATCCCAAGAGATTCATATATTGGAGTTACAGGTGTTTGAGCCGCGACAGCAGCTTGCTTGCATCTGTCGGTAAGGCGTACCGCCACCATGAGATCTTAAAGGGAAAAAAGGGGGCGGGGGGGGGGGGGGGTCAGCTTGTAAAATTTTGTACGGGATGAGGCTTAAGGAGCTTAAGCTTTGTTTATTTAAGCAATAATGATGATGATAAGTTGTATTATTATAGTATACTACATGGCAAATAAGTATACTAATATGTTTGAAAATATACAAATACATGCTTAAGAAAGAGAATGTTTATACATGGTTATGGGCAACCATTTAACCCCCGTGCATATTGTTTTAAGACTAATAAGACTAATTAATGTTCATTTCTGTAAGGCTGAACATCAGTCTTAATAGAGCTTTTGACAGAGCTCATCAACGAATGTTACATCTTCCCCCGACACTTCGATGAGGTACAAGGTGGAAGAGAAGAAGAGGAAGAAGAAGAAGAAGAAGAAGAAGATGATTTCTGTTTTTTGGTTTTTTTCCCTCGTTACGATACAAATGTGTCATATTTTAAACACAATGAAACACAAATGATGGGATACTGACTACAGTGAAACACAAATGATGGGATACTGACTACAGTGAAACACAAATGATGGGATACTGACTACATTAAAACACAAATGATGGGATACTGACTACATTAAAACACAAATGATGGGATACTGACTACAGTAAAACACAAATGATGGGATACTGACTACAGTGAAACACAAATGATGGGATACTGACTACATTAAAACACAAATGATGGGATACTGACTACAGTGAAACACAAATGATGGGATACTCACTACAGTGAAACACAAATGATGGGATACTGACTACAGTGAAACACAAATGATGGGATACTGATTACAGTGAAACACAAATGATGGGATACTGACTACAGTGAAACACAAATGATGGGATACTCACTACAGTGAAACACAAATGATGGGATACTCACTACAGTGAAACACAAATGATGGGATACTCACTACAGTGAAACACAAATGATGGGATACTCACTACAGTGAAACACAAATGATGGGATACTCACTACAGTGAAACACAAATGATGGGATACTCACTACAGTGAAACACAAATGATGGGATACTGATTACAGTGAAACACAAATGATGGGATACTGACTACAATAAAACACAAATGATGGGATACTGATTACAGTGAAACACAAATGATGGGATACTGACTACAATAAAACACAAATGATGGGATACTGACTACAGTAAAACACAAATGATGGGATACTCACTACAATAAAACACAAATGATGGGATACTGACTACAGTGAAACACAAATGATGGGAAACTCACTACAATAAAACACAAATGATGGGATACTCACTACAGTGAAACACAAATGATGGGATACTGACTACAGTAAAACACAAATGATGGGATACTGACTACAGTGAAACACAAATGATGGGATACTCACTACAATAAAACACAAATGATGGGATACTCACTACAGTGAAACACAAATGATGGGATACTGACTACAGTGAAACACAAATGATGGGATACTCACTACAATAAAACACAAATGATGGGATACTCACTACAATAAAACACAAATGATGGGATACTGACTACAATAAAACACAAATGATGGGATACTGACTACAATAAAACACAAATGATGGGATACTCACTACAGTGAAACACAAATGATGGGATACTCACTACAGTGAAACACAAATGATGGGATACTCACTACAGTGAAACACAAATGATGGGATACTGACTACAATAAAACACAAATGATGGGATACTGACTACAATAAAACACAAATGATGGGATACTCACTACAGTGAAACACAAATGATGGGATACTCACTACAGTGAAACACAAATGATGGGATACTCACTACAGTGAAACACAAATGATGGGATACTGACTACAATAAAACACAAATGATGGGATACTGACTACAATAAAACACAAATGATGGGATACTCACTACAGTGAAACACAAATGATGGGATACTCACTACAGTGAAACACAAATGATGGGATACTGACTACAGTGAAACACAAATGATGGGATACTGACTACAGTGAAACACAAATGATGGGATACTGACTACAGTGAAACACAAATGATGGGATACTCACTACAATAAAACACAAATGATGGGATACTCACTACAATAAAACACAAATGATGGGATACTCACTACAGTGAAACACAAATGATGGGATACTGACTACAGTGAAACACAAATGATGGGATACTGACTACAGTGAAACACAAATGATGGGATACTGACTACAGTGAAACACAAATGATGGGATACTCACTACAATAAAACACAAATGACGGGATACTGACTACAGTAAAACACAAATGATGGGATACTCACTACAGTGAAACACAAATGATGGGATACTGACTACAGTGAAACACAAATAATGGGATACTGACTACAGTGAAACACAAATGATGGGATACTGACTACAGTAAAACACAAATGATGGGATACTGACTACAGTAAAACACAAATGATGGGATACTGACTACACTAAAACACAAATGATGGGATACTCACTACAGTGAAACACAAATGATGGGATACTGACTACAGTAAAACACAAATGATGGGATACTCACTACAATAAAACACAAATGATGGGATACTGACTACAGTGAAACACAAATAATGGGATACTGACTACAGTGAAACACATATGATGGGATACTCACTTGCCTATGAATATATACAACAGAGCCGAGAAGTCTCCATGTTCCACCCTGACGATCTACATGCAGCATTCGCAAAATTTGCAGGAAACGAACACCCCTAGAATAACAAAATTAAAAAAAAAACACATTGTGTTCACAAATCATAGTTGACCGTTGAATAATATATTTTGAAACATATTTTACACTCAAAAATATCTCTGATCGATATGCTGACTAAATCACCCATCGAGTATTGATTTGCTCACACAAATATGAGCCAAGCATGATATGCCGAAAGACCACTGGCGGAAAAGGGGACCTTCAGTTTGTCAAAATCTCATCTCAATTTTCAATATCTCATCTTAGTTGCCAATATCTCATCTTAGATGTAATTATCTCATCTTAATTGTCAAGGGGGTTTAAGACTTGTTTAAATGGTTAATAATAATAATGTGCTGAATTACAAACAAACAAAAGAATATATTGAAAATTATATGTATACAGATATTTAACTTTCATTTAGGGGAGGGGGTGGGGAGAGAATTGGGGTCGGGGTGGGGGGGGGGGGGGGGGGGGGGGGGGGGGGGGGGGGGGGGGGGGGGAGGGGTGTGTTTGTTTACTCATAACTTCAGGATCCCTCTACCCCTTAAAAAAATATTATTTGGGGTGGTGGCTCAAGGTGATGACTGCTGCCGTTTTGACCAGGATCACTGGAATTCTCGATGGAGCCACTGAGTTCGTACTTTGTGCGACACTCAGCAGGCTCCTAGTCACTCACTCACTCTCTCTCTCTCTCTCTCTCTCTCTCTCTCTCTCTCTCTCTCTCTCTGTCTCTCTCTCTCTCTCTCTCTCTCTCTATCCCGTTCTTCCGCCCCCCCCCCATCCGTCTGGCTTTCATCCCTTTATCTAACATAGGAGGCACTAACACTAGCATTTTCAGGGAAGTTAAGTGGTCTCAAGGGATGGTGACCGCCTTAAGTGCTAGAGGTTCCGGCTTCAATCCCCGGTAAGGGCTGGAAGTTTTTCACGTGAACTTGGACTTCTAGTAATTCCCCCTGGTCTCTGGGTAGTAAGATCGGACGCCCGTGTGCATTGTTGCGCATGTAAAAAAAATCCATTGGCAGTTGGAAGTCTAAAAGAGTAGCCTAACATCGCTTCCCAGGCAAAATTTAGAGTTGAAAAACTATTCAAAGTATTTTAGGATCATCACCGGTGCTACAGAGCATGTGCACTGTGTTGAGCTTCTTCGGACTAAGACTTCAGTTATAGGTTACTACCAGTGTGCCATGATGGTGATCCGTTGTTCAAACCTGTTCAAAACACTAGCACAGCTACCAACAGCAACACTCTTGGTGTCATTGGAACTCGACATGGTCCGTCAAGGTGGCGACACGTGAGAAATGTCGTTAGAACTGGACAAGTTCTGTCAACACGCCAAGGTGGCGACACATCAGAATTGTCGTCAGAACTGGACAAGTTCTGTCAACAGGTCAAGGTGGCGACACATCAGAATTGTCGTTAGAACTGGATAAGTTCTGTCAACACGTCAAGGTGGCGACACATCAGAATTGTCGTTAGAACTGGACAAGTTCTGTCAACACGTCAAGGTGGCGACACATCAGAATTGTCGTTAGAACTGGACAAGTTCTGTCAACACGTCAAGGTGGCGACACATCAGAATTGTCGTCAGAACTGGACAAGTTCTGTCAACACGTCAAGGTGGCGACACATCAGAATTGTCGTTAGAACTGGACAAGTTCTGTCAACACGTCAAGGTGGCGACACATCAGAATTGTCGTCAGAACTGGACACGTTCTGTCAACACGTCAAGGTGGCGACACATCAGAATTGTCGTTAGAACTGGACAAGTTCTGTCAACTCGTCAAGGTGGCGACACATCAGAATTGTCGTCAGAACTGGACACGTTCTGTCAACACGTCAAGGTGGCGACACATCAGAATTGTCGTTAGAACTGGACAAGTTCTGTCAACACGCCAAGGTGGCGACACATCAGAATTGTCGTTAGAACTGGACAAGTTCTGTCAACACGTCAAGGTGGCGACACATCAGAATTGTCGTTAGAACTGGACAAGTTCTGTCAACACGTCAAGGTGGCGACACATCAGAATTGTCGTTAGAACTGGACACGTTCTGTCAACACGTCAAGGTGGCGACACATCAGAAATGACGAGTAAGTGAAGTCAGGATCCTTTTCTCGTGCCTTTAGCCAATTAGGAAAATAGGCAAGGACCTATATTATATATACCAAGCTGCACTTGATGGGTCATATGATCAGTATACGCCGGCCGCCTTTGCTTCCAAGGATTTCACTTGGTTCCCACTCACAGCTGGGTGGGAATGGGAGCTAAGGTCATTTTAAGGATTGGGGGGGGGGGGGGGGGGGGAAGGGGAGGGGGGTATATGCCATTCACCATCTGGGTGAAAAGAATCCTATAATTCGTTTTCTGGGAGCCGCGGTAGAATAGGTGGCTTGACGCTTACCCTCTGGTCGGAAAGTCTCGGGTTCAGAATTTCATGGTTGCGAAAAAAAAAACAAAAAAACTTGGCATTGGCTTCCAGGTCAACTCAGTCTATAATGAGCACCAGATGTCCTGGAATGTAAAGGCGGCCAGCGTGATGTTGACCACTTCAGCCATTGAGTTCTGTTTGGTCTATACAATATGACTCTAGCTTCATATTCTTGCTGTAATCATGTATACATGGCAGTGGTTATCAACCTTCCTAATGCTACGATCCCTTAACGCAGTTCCTTCTGTTGTGGCGACCCCCAAACATACAATTATTTTTGTCGGTACTTCATAACTTCAGGGAATTTTTGTTTTCCAATGGTCTTTGGCGACCCCTGTGAAAGGGTCGGTCGACCCCCCCAAAAAAGCTCCCGACCACCAGTTTGAGAACCGCTGATAAAAGGTATCCTTTACTTTTACTTACGTTACCTTTTGCGTTAACAGCAGGTTTAACATATATTAGACACTGCGTGAATTATGAACAAGTTTATAAAACACCTTAGGCGTTGCGAACACGCTTCGTAATGCCTGGGTGCCGGGTTCGATCCCTGCTGCGGTCGGTTTGTCTTGCGATGGTTTCGACCGTGGAGAGACGACTGTCCAGAAACAGTGACAAATTACTTGACGTACATGTGCCTAGAAAAACCACAACAACCTGAAAGTGCTGGGGTCGGTTCTGCAACGTCCTGTAAAGGATACGCAAACAGAGAAATATAAAACACGCTTTTAAAAACCATACTAGAGGAAAAAGGTCGAAGGCAAGAGAGCAAGAGGTGGGCAACGATACAAGTGGGAGGACAACATCCAGAGATGGACGGGCAGCAGACTAAAAGAGTGTACAACCAGGACAAGAGACAAGATGTGTTGGAGATCCATTGCAGTCAACCTTCACTGTGGAGACGGCACTTGATTGATAAACAACTCTGACATTCTGGTAGAGACGGGCACATTACCACGGAACGATGAACACTCGGCAACAAACGAGAAAAAGATGTGTGCTAAAATGTCTTAATTATGCACTTAACGGGGAAACGAGGCAGGCTCATGCCGGTAATTTTCATCTTCAAATGTCAAACTTGATGTTTATAATGCTATCAGCTATTTACATTAGGCAGAAGCAAAGCTTCACACAGCTGGGTCTTAAACCGTGATCTCGTGAAATGTCAGACGAACTTTGAGTAAAAGTCGCTGTAAAAATTACATAATCAATAATTACTATAGCGATAATTAAAGTTAGTTGCGTGTGTTTTACTTGACAAACCAACCGTTCCGTCACCTTGCTAAAAAAAAAAAAAAACACCACATCATCACGCTCAACTAGCATCTCCGAAGGGAGAGCTGCAGGTTATAATTACGACTAGGTTATGTGCGCCATATACAATGGCTAAAACATCGAGCCCTACCAAGAGCCCTGAAAAGGACTCCTGCAATGTTGATGTGATCAAAGGAGAGAGACACAGAAACTGTCTCCACCAGCGACGAGGCGAAGTCGTCTACCGGCTAGCCAATGGGCGACCTGGTCGCCGATGTGCAAACCAACCTGCATTTCTTGGCTGTTGTATGGTTCCTTTTAGGGCTGTACAGAATATTCGCTTTGTATTTGCTTCGGGGCCAAATAGTGGACTTAATAAATATTCGGTATTCGACCGAATACTCGCGGTTGGGCCGAATACGAATAGTGGTTACCTCACAACCGTTTTGCATACACTGCGATGGACTGAAATAACTCTCTCACTAATACAATAGTTGCTGTTTGTCTAAGTCTGTCGTAGCGGGAAAAACTGCGACCCGGTTGAGTAATACAGCAGCTGGCAACGTCTTTTTCTGCTGACTCGACTGAGGCATTACAGCAGAGGTTGTTAAGCTGGGTTCATATGCCAGGGGTGCCGCAGCGAAAATCAAGAAAAGTCGGCTATAAATTGTGACATTATTAAAGAAGGCATAAAGATACTTACAAGTTAAAATTTTAATTGTCTTTCCTCGCCACTGTGGAAAACAGTTTTTTTTTTCCTTTGTGGAACACTCAAAGTGTATAATACTGTATAAAATGCCAACCTCAGCGTGCTAAAAATTGTCTTTGTATTTATCTCGAGGTGCGCCTGAACTTACATCTGTATTAATGAAGGTGCAGTGGATAAGTAAGGTTGTGATTACATTTTGGTTGACATTTTAAAGTGGAAAATGTGGTCTGTACAATAGTCACTGTTAGCCTCGTCAAGCAAGCACTTATTTTTAAAGGCAATGTGTTGTGAGTCCTTGGTAATCGGTAGACATGTCAAACAATTTCCTGAGGCTTCAGAGATGTGGTTTTACAGAACAATGCTTAAAATACCACGGACAACTCCCCCCCCCCCCTCCCCCCAAAAGCAGCTAAGAGGTTTTGAAAGTTGCGGGAGCCCGAAGACAACTAATCACAGACATCAGTAGGAGACAGTCATCATTTTTCGGCCATGTTATGAGAAGAGGGAAAATGGAACATGTGGTGACCACTGGAAAGATCAGTGGAAGGAGGGATAGAGGAAGACAACAAGACAAGATTCTTGACAGTCTCGTTGCATGGCATAGAGGTGTGTCAGCACACTAACTAATACATGCTGCAGGAGATCGCAGATTATGGTCAGGCATATTCACTCACGCCAGTCTGCAAGGCACATGATGATAATGATACACTATTCGGAACAGCTCTAGTTTCTAAACCCTGCCCCAACTCCCCGTTCCCCCCCCCCCTCATGGAATTTTAGGTTTAGTGGTTTGTCATTGCTTTTTTTTTACCTTCACGTTTCTCTTTGAACTGTTTCCATTAATGATGAACTGTAATTCCACGGGCGGACTCACTGTGTTGGCTGACCTATGTATTTAATACCTATGTATGCTATTGGCTTTGCTGAGTCTGCATTCTGTTTCAATTTGATCGCAAGGGACAGGGATGGGACATACTGTGTGGTCGTCGCTGTTATAGGAACGGGTCAGCTGTGAGGGATTCATCTGCCGTGACGTTGGAACTGCGACTACCTGACTAACTAGACGGCATCACGCTTATACAATTTTCAAAGACAAAACAAAGCATTCTGCTGTCAAATCAGCTGAACCTGACTTCAGACCCTGTTAAGGAATGCGAAACCGTGTTCACAGCCTACACCCCAAAGACACTGACATAATGATAATAAACTCGTATAAAAACAGAGGTAATACATACAGATACATGCTCCCACACTCAAACATACAGATACATGCTCCCACACTCATACATACAGATACGTGCTCCCACAATCATACATACAGACACAGTCACCCACACTCATACATAAAGATACGTGCTCCCACACTCATACATACAGATACTGTCACCCACACTCATACATACAAATACGTGCACCCATATTCATACATTCAGACACAGCCACCCACACTCATACATACAGATACGTGCACCCATACTCGTACATACAGAAAAATGTACTCATATGTATGCAGATACGTGCACCCACACTTATACATACAGATAGATGCACCCACACTCATAAATACAGATACGTGCACCCATATTCATACATATATAAATATATACGTGCACCCACACTCATACATACAGATACATGCACCCACACTCATGCATATAGATACGAGCACCCACACTCATACATACAGATTCATGCACCCACACGCATACATACAGATACACGCACTCACAATCATACACACAGATACATGCTCCGACACTCATAATACATATACGTGCATCCACACTCATACACACAGATACATGCACCCACACTCATACGTGCAGATACATGCACCCACACTCATACATACAGATACATGCTCTGACACTCATAATACAGATACGTGCACCATCACTCATAAATACAGATACGTGTACTCATACTCATGCATATACATTTATGCACCCACTCACTCACACAAACACACACATGCATATATTCAGCGCACACAGATACACTCATGCATACACACACATCCTCATATGTGTACCTAATAATACTCTCATGCATATGTACATCATACACATATTACACTTATACATATGTATCCAGACACATATACAACCAAATGTAAAAACACTCTTACATGTCCAAGCATGCATATACACATACACAAACACTTAAACACACACACACACACACACACACACACACACACACTCAACATACTTACACTCATGCATTCTCATACATAAACCTTTACATTCACACTCTTAAACATACCCATACATACACAAACATCTAAACATACACAAGCATTCATAAATCCACACACACCCCTTTACACAAAAATACCCTTACACGCACAAACAGAACAACCCCTACATACATCAAACATTTACAAACATATACAAGCATATACACACACATACAAACAGATACATACATGGCGCCCGCATATACGCACACTCGTACATACCTATTCATACACAGACACACACTCATACATACACAATCACACATACACACTTTATATATATATATATATATATATATATATATATATATATATATATATATATATATATATATACACTTATATATATATATCCATTGTACATGTATATCACACATACACTCATATGCACGTATCACACAACATGTCTAATTACAAAATGGCAATGCATTATGGATTAACTAAATTTAAGTTGACATGTAATCACTGGTAACATGACTTGAAAGACCGAGTGGAAGATGGTTCCATAAATAAGCGGCAGAATATAAATAACTTGTTTTAATTAAATCGGTTCTAGGTTTCCAGGTTTAGGCAAATGTAATAACCCTAGTAGTTTGCTATTCGTAGGATTGGAATGAATCAACCGGAAAATGTAATTTATGAGACAGGATTTTATGAATGAATTTGGCCTTGTTAACAAATAAACATTTACTAAATGGCAAAAGTCTTAGATATCCGTGTAAGAGTTTTTATATTTATTTCGACGTAATTTCTAGCAGAGACTAAAGTAAGGCCCGATTTTGTAGAGAAAACAGTCATTTAAAATTAAATTTGGAGCAACCATCTTAAAATGTTGAACAATAGTCTGTATGCTCTTGGATGCAGGATGCGTACACTATTTTACGTGTAATGTCGTCCGGAAAGTGCGGAATTTTGTCAAGTTGATAAACCCTTGTGAAAAGAAAAGAAGAAGAAAGAAGAAGAAGAAGAAGAAGAAGAAGAAGAAGAAGAAGAAGAAGAAGAAGAAGAAGAAGAAGAAAAAGAAAAAAAGAAAAAGAAGAAGAAGAAGAGAAGAAGAAGAAGAAGAAGAAGAAGAAGAAGAAGAAGAAAGAAGAAGAAGAAGAAGAAGAAGAAGAAGAAGAAAGAAGAAGAAAGAAGAAGAAGAAGAAGAAGAAGAAGAAGAAGAAGAAGAAGAAGAAGAAGAAGAAGAAGAAGAAGAAGAAGAAGAAGAAGAAGAAGAAGAAGAAGAAGAAGAAGAAGAAGAAGAAGAAGAAGAAGAAGAAGAAGAAGAAGAAGAAGAAGAAGAAGAAGAAGAAGAAGAAGAAGAAGAAAAAGAAAAAGAAGAAGAAGCAGAAGAAGAAGGAGAAGAAGGAGGAGGAGAAATAGAAGAAGACTGTTGTTATTTAAATGCTGACATTAAACTTATGTATGTGTTTCTCTAATGACATGGATAGCGAGGACAGTAGAGAAATGGGTTTATAATTTCCAATAGAACTGTTGCCAGCCGAGCCAGGCCAGGTTTGAGCAGACACTTTGGGTGGGGTGGGGCGGGGAGGGGGGGGGGGGGGGTTTGAGAAGTTAACAAATGCAAATATTTTCGGCTACTAAAATAAAATCGGTGCGTTATTAATATCCTACCCAGATGACGTCACAGGACAGTCCAACATTTTAGAGGGTGGTAAAACTGGGTTTCCCGGCTTTCTGATGCTTTTAATGACCCCAAAGCATCTAGAACTGGCTCTAACCCCAACTCACCTACGTCCCACGAGAGAGTGCAGCCTTGGTCCCACGATTGCATGCAGCCTATCTACCACCCCCTAAAATATTAGACTGTCCCGTTACCTGTGGATTACCTCTGTTTGGGGGAGGTTATTATTAAAGCACCATAACATCTCACTGGCAGACGCGTGGCAGAAAATTCTTACACCATCAGCCAAATACATACAGTACTGATACCAAACATCGGACAGTTCCTTTACGGTTAGTTGAGTTGATTTGCGAACTTCTTCTTTTGTCAAAATCTGCTTGTGCCGCTAGGCGTCGCAGTCTATCAGATGATCGGCAACCGAGCCAGGGTGCGCTCAGTCGCTTCATATGCCGTGATGTTATGAAGTCTCAAGTTGTCCATGACTCCTTCAATCCATATTCTTCTTGGTCTTCCCCTGCCTCTTGGTGTTTCGATTTTCATGTTGTATGCTCTTGATGCTGGCATCGTTGGTTCCATTCTCACTAGGTGACCAAACCATTTCATTCTTTGCTTCTCAATAAATTTAACGATGGGTATGGTTCCAATAGTTCTTGTAATCACATCGTTTCTCACTCGATCTCTTCTGGTTTTATTCGCAGCCATTCTCAAACATCTAATTTCACAGGTGATTAGTCTTCTCTCGTGTTCTTTTGTTGATGTCCAAGTCTGACATTGATAACCTAATGTCGGTATAAAGATTGTATTTATAATTTGTCTTTTTATCTCAGCTGGGACAGCTGATTTGCGAACTGACAATACAAAACTCGGAAAATTCCTACATCGTCAACGACCAGCTAAGAGTTATAATTCTTGCAGTGCCTATAGATGGTTGATTTTATGTCCCTCTTGCTTTTCCTCAAACGTTCCACACATGCTTTCAAATAATAATAATAATAATAATAATAATAATAATAATAATAATAATAATAATAATAATAATAATAATAATAATAATAATAATAATGATAATAATAATAATGATAATAATAATAACAACAATTCAAAACTGTTGTCAGTAGCAACACGGACTTATTCAATAACTCACCTGATGGCTGAAGTAGCGAACACTTGACCATTGGAGCCGACTGTTAGCACAACGATAGAGGCAACCACCACTGTGAAATCTGACAATGGCATTGGTAGAGGTCAAAGTTCGGCAACCTTTCAAGGTAGTTCCCCACATATTATATTCTACAGGGGAAAATAACTGTAGTAACAGTAGCAATAGCAACAGCCGCAGCAATAGTAACAATAGCAGCAGTGTTAGTAGTAGCAGTCATTGTAGGTGGAAGGGCTCTAATGTATTACACCTTGTTTAAAGGTGCAAACATAATAATTTTTTTAGCTCTTCGGACAATTATATTGGCGTGGAGTGCCTCTTCCCCAAATCTAACTCTTAAAAATGTCCTTCTGGCGGCGCGCCATATTGATATAACCCTGACCCCTTCCTTTACACTGCAAGGTATGCAGTATCTTTCTATTTATTTCTTGGCGTTTGTTATCAATAGTCTTCAGTACTTGTAGGATTTTCCCCTCTGATTGATCATCATCATTACTAGTGTCTACAACTGCCGTTAAGCAACTTGGGGAGGAACAGTTTGCGTTTCAGCTTTTGACGAACAGCTCTGGCTATTGTAAGTCCATAAGGATGTTTAATGTCTTCAATGTTACTGATGTACAGTTTACAGAGAGACGCATACTGCAAGACAGTGGTCAGATAAGAGGTACTATCAACAGGTGTCTGAAAATGACTAATGCAATTAGACAACTATGTACAACTATAAGAAAGAGACAGTCATTGTTCTTCGGTCACATGATGAGAAGAGACGTATTAGAGAACATCGTGATGACTGGATAGATTAACAGTAGAAGAGGCAGAGGCAGACCAAGAGAGGTGATGCATGACGGCCGTTTGGAACATCATCAGTGGAACTGATTCAGAATACCAAGAATCAAGGTATATAGAGACATGAGAGCCTACGTCGCAGGGCAGGGCACATGATGATAATGAATGAAGATAAAGAGGACAGCATCAATCAACTACACAGTATAAGTAAATAGTTAAGGACCCTTTTCCACACCTTTAGGCATATAGAGCATATGGGGTTTATATATATATATATATATATAGACCAATCGGCACAAGACAGGTTATGTGGTCAGCATCACGCCAGCTGCCTTTACTTCCCGGGGCTGCACCCGGTACCCACTCAAGGCTGGGTCGACCTGGGAGCCAAGGCCATTTTTGAAAAAAGTCTGGCGAACTCAAGACCTTCCATTCAGACGAGCGTCTAGCCGCTTGGCCACGACGACTCCCAGCATAGTTTACTGCCTGGAATATTTCAGTGGATCTCGTCAGGGGTATGTACACCAATGGATTACATTATTTGTGTACTAGTGGAGCTGGGGTGAGCTGATTCAAGAACCAACACTACAGCATTCGGGGCATTTCCATCAGTATCGTCCCATGCTCTCACTCCTCGCTGCACCACTCTCACCAGTCTGTGATAATCAATTTGTTCTTCTGAATTTTACACCTGTTGTTTGTGTATTTGAGTCGAAAGGATTAACCTTTGCACCTCACTATATGTTGATTTATGTTCTGTTCACTTAACTCATGATGTATATCATTTAAATAATCATGCGGACACCAACAATACACTGCATAATTATCTGTCTAAAATATTTCGCGGTATCTCGTCTGGTGTATAGCTGTGGAGTTAGATCAACATACTATGAAGCACAAAAATAAAATCTTTTCACTGAAATACATAAATCGCATTGACAAATTACACTGTATATCTAAAGATTAACCATCAAAATATGTCAGGCACACATTGTACAATATATTTTGTGTCTCCATGTTGAATAAATTCACCAAAGGAAATCGTTCTTTTGAATGCATCTTTTAGTTAGCGAGAGCACGGATTTCTGAGAGCATCACGCGTTTGTCAAAGTTTCTACTGTACAGTAGATAGATTTTTCAAAAAGAGACCAAAGAGACGCAGTAACATTGTCTATTCATGTCTTATGCTGAGGGAGGTTTTCTAACTACAGCGTTCATTTGTCGTTCGTTATTGTGATCATGTGAAACCGGCTGGTTCTACTCATAGTGTGAAAGACGGGAGTTTGGAAGGGCCGAATTTAAGACTGGCCTGCGTGCCCAATTTGTGCTCCTTTGAAAACAAAGTTCATTCGTTTGTTCGTTTATAGTCTGCTTTCTTATCTTTTCACTGAATTCCCAGATGCGCGAGGTCATCACTCGAGCTACAGTTTCATTGTTTGTGCAGCGTTTTTTTGCGAGCCAGCAGCCTATCTTCAAAACGTTTCCGAGCCGTACAGGATAAGACTTTCCAATGACGTCGATCGTTCCATGTTTGAACATCCTTTAATCGTCACATACCTGCTAGGAGAAATCAAACTTGAGCATGCTGCCAGGCGTGTTCACCGGAAACCGGCTCTTGTGTTTACTTGAGAGTTTTACAGCGATGATACACCTGGTGCTCATTCGCATAATTAAAACGATAGAACGAAAGTTGAAGTCCAGAAGGTCGACTTCATTGCATCAAGTTTTATCCTGAACGGCTTGGTCTCTCTCTTATATACATCTCGAAGCCCCTCACAAAATGTAAGCATTCCTGCGCTGACACTTTTCTATGTCAGGATAAAACTTTGTAAAGAATCATCTCACAATGTCCTCCTATTCCAATCTTTCTTCTTGTGGTGTCATTACACCGTCACTGGGATGTAGCCAAGCGTCGTGGTTTTCCATGTTTGTCTTGATATTCTCGACCGTCTTGAAGAATGGTATTGTTTAGTTGTGAGATTAATTAACGAAAGAGCAAGGAAATAAGATCAATGTTTAAACAACCATCGTGGTCAAGCCATTTGCTCTGAAGCTCGTGGTTTCCTTTCACGGATGCGCCATTCAGTTCATGAATGCAGTATTTACGGAGATCCTAGGGATCGTCGCTGGAGCTATGGACTCTCGGTACGCGGCTTGCTGCTCTGTGGAGAGCGACTGATCCCGATGCGATGAAGTCGATTCTCTCGTCTCTAACTTTAGTTGTCAGACTATAAAGGTGGTGATATATTGGACACACCATGAGCGAAAGCTAACAAATAATAACCAAAAAGGTACTGAAATGGGAAATAAATGGACTAAGGAAACAAATAAGTCATAGAGAAACATAGGATTAGGAGGGAGGGAAGAGAAGTGAAAAAAAAATGACGAAAAAGAACAAGTACAAGAAACCATACATAATATTTAAGTACACCAGGTGTATCGCCTCAGCCAGCAGGAAACGAACGTTCCCTTTAGAACAAACCCGGATGGGATCATGCGATGGGTTTGTCTAGGACAGAAACTCGAGATGTTCTTCACAAGCCTCCAGCAACAAATTTATACTGTGACATAAAGTGTTTGTAAGCAAGCACGTAGCCCCACCAGTACACAAGTTTAATTATGTCAGCAAAAATACGAGCTTCTTTGATCTGGGATGTAATATAAGAAGAGTTTAGCTTTTGTTATCAGAACATTTAAGTTAGAGATTCCGAGGTGCTGGTCGACGTAGAACATTCTCTATGTCCCGGTGAAGTTGTTGAGCTTCAGTTTTGGGAGAAACAAGAATAGATTTACAACCCCTTACCAGGTGTGTCCTAAAAGGCGATCGGTTTCATTTGCTGAAATCAAATGTCGGTTCTCAGTAATCAGGTTTTCAACTTCGGTGCAAACGGGTCAATCAATAGATGTTTATTTCTTGTGCAAGTGAAAGTCGCACAAATTGCCATTCACTGTCCCACAGAAAGACTAACCAAGACATCCCTTTTATTTTTCTTCCCCCCCCCCCCTTTCATCTCAAAGTAAAGAATAAGCTCTCTACCATCCCCTTTCCCTTTTCCTTTTCTAAGTCTTTCTGTTATACAAACGTTAGTCTCCCCAAACAAAGTAGGTCACGTTCCATTCATAAGTTTTTTGGGCTGGTCTGCCTTCCTGCAGGTTGCGCGTGTGCCGCTCTGTTGTTTTCATTCTGGGTTGTCTTGCATTTGCGTTTTTTTTTTCGAGAAAGAGAATGCCTGTGACATAGGTTTGTTTCATCACTCTCTAAAGGGGTTTCGTGTTAGACCCAGTTTCTCTATTATTTTTGAGTGTTAAAAGCGCTGGCGTGCCGAAATATACAACACGCGATACCACAGGAATTGAGGGAAACCCCCGTAACCTCGTGGCAAGGTAACGTGGCTCAATGTCGACCAGTCAGAAGAGAGCTAGGCTGAAGGTTGACCAATCAGAAGTGAGCTAGTGTGTAACACTGTGTAAATGGAGGACTAACGTTAGTTTTACCAGTCTTTTGTACAGCATGCAGCCAGATGTTTTGGGTCTGTCTTTATTTAAATTAGAAGCCGAACTTCGTCCCTCCCCAAATGACTTTGGTTCCCAGGACAACATAGTATTAAATGGGTACCAGATAAAGTTAAGGGAGGTTAAGGAGGCCGGCGCGATGTTGGTCTATAAAGTGTGTCTAACCGTATATGCCCAATACGCTTTAAGGTGTGGACAAGTGTCGTTACCTTGATCTTTACTTTATTTCTAAGAACCTGTGGGTTCCAGTAAAAGACATTCTAGCTATTTTGTTATAATCTTCACCAACGCCTTCTCCTTCTTTTTCTTCTTCTTTTAAATTATCATTACTTGCACAAATAATGTCAACAATGCTATATAATTGTCAATAATGTTCCAAAAGCTGTGATTAATTGCACACTTACACAGACACACACACACACCGTTAATAATGTCTTAGCGAACATCATTCGCATGAATATCACTAAAAGAATTACTAATCTTAAAAACACCGTTAGCAATGTCTTAGCGAGCATCATACCCATTAATATTACCAAAAGAATTACTAATACACAGACACTGTCACTAATGCCAACAACGCTTTGAATAATGTCACGAACAAAAGACGACGTAGCATTTCACCTATTATAACAATAGAAGACGTAAAATGTTACCTATTATAACAATAGACGACGTAACATTTTACCTATTATAGAAATGGGCTTCCTGGCAAACCGGAACCTGCCTCTGACCCCCATATACTTGCTGCGACAGCCGGCAGACCACAGGCGAATCACGTACTCCAGGCCGAAGAACACAACCAAGACCATCTCCTGCAATAGGATGTGTTATTATCATTGACAAACTGCAGTTATTCGTTTAAAAATAAACACAAACAAAATCGCGCCGTCTTCACAGTGGAGGTAGGCTGCAATGTATCCACAGCTATGAAATTATTGTTAGGCGAGGTTCCAATTTTTTCCTGTCTCACACCACTGACTGAAAGCAACAAGAACGTCCTCTTTTTTTTTTTTTTAAATCCACCAGAATCAAGCCTTAACAGTCGTTAAAAAAAAAAAAAAAACATTATGCATTCATAGAAGTATATAGGTCTAGCTCTGTAAGTTCAATACCTACTGATGAGTGAAAAGGGTGAATTGATTTCTACTCGACCTACTACTTTTCATGGACATACAGGCACTTCTGGCGACTGCTTTATATATTTAACGCATGTTTATAATATTGTATGTGCCGAAAGCACAGTTTATGTCAAGTGTTTTGAAGCGATGGACATTCTGTGTGGTTTACGGTTGGCACATGATCACAGGAACTATAGTAGCAGAGCAACATACATAAACAGAGCAGCTGCGGGAACAGAGCAAGTGCAGGAACAGAGCAAATACAGGAACAGAGCAACTACAGAAACAGAGCTACAGGAACAGAACAACTGCAGAAACAGAATAACTACAGCAAAAGAATAACTAAAGGAACAGAATAACTACAGGAACAGAGCAACTGCAGGAACAGAGCAACTGCAGGAACAGAGCAACTGCAGGAACAGACCAACTGCAGGAGCAGAATAACTACAAGAACAGAGCAACTGCAGGAACAGAATAACTACAGGAACAGAGCAACTGCAAGAACAGAGCAACCGCAGGAACAGAGCAACTGCAGGAACAGAATAACTACAGGAACAGAGCAACTGCAGGAATAGAATAACTACAGGAACAGAGCAACTGCAGGAACAGAATAACTACAGGAACAGAGCAACTATAGGAACAGAATAACTACAGGAACAGAATAATTACAGGAACAGAGCAACTACAGGAACAGAGCAACTACAGGAACATAGCAACTGCAGGAACATAGCAACTGCAGGAACATAGCAACTGCAGGAATAGAGCAACTGCAGGAACAGAATAACTACAGGAACATAGCAACTACAGGAACAAAGCAACTGCAGGAACAGAGCAACTTTAGGAACATAGCAACTGCAGGAACAGAATAACTACAGGAACAAAATAACAACAGGAACAGAATAACTTCAGGAACAGAATAACTACAGGAACAGAATAACTACAGGAACAGAATAACTTCAGGAACAGAATAACTACAGGAACAGAATAACTACAGGAACAGAATAACTACAGGAACAGAATAACTACAGGAACATAGCAACTTCAGTAACAGAGCAACTGCAGGAACATAGCAACTGCAGGAACATAGCAACTGCAGGAACATAGCAATTGCAGGAACAGAGCAACTGCATGAACAGAATAACTACAGGAACATAGCAACTGCAGGAACAAAGCAGCTACAGGAACAGAATAACTACAGGAACATAACGACAGCAGGAAAAGAGCAACTGTAGGATCAGAGCAACAGTAGGATCAGAGCAACTAAAGGAACATAGCAACTGCAAGAACAGAATAACTACACGAACAGAATTACTACACGAACAGAGCAGCTGCAGGATCAGAGCAACTACAGGAACATAGCAACTGCAGGAACAGAATAACTACAGGAACATAGCAACTGCAGGAACAAAGCAACTGCAGGAACAAACCAACTGAAGGAACAGAATAACTACATGAACAGAATAACTACAGGAACAGAATAACTACAGGAACAGAGCAACTATAGGAACAGAATAACTACAGGAACAGAAAAACTACAGGAACAGAGCAACTACAGGAACAGAGCAACTATAGGAACATAGCAACTGCAGGAACATAGCAACTGCAGGAACATAGCAACTGCAGGAACAGAGCAACTGCAGGAACAGAATAACTACAGGAACATAGCAACTACAGGAACAAAGCAACTGCAGGAACAGAGCAACTGCAGGAACATAGCAACTGCAGGAACAGAATAACTACAGGAACAAAATAACTACAGGAACAGAATAACTTCAGGAACATAATAACTACAGGAACAGAATAACTACAGCAACAGAATAACTTCAGGAACAGAATAACTACAGAAACAGAATAACTACAGAAACATAGCAACTTCAGTAACAGAGCAACTGCAGGAACATAGCAACTGCAGGAACATAGCAACTGCAGGAACAGCAACTGCAGGAACAGAGCAACTGCAGGAACAGAATAACTACAGGAACATAGCAACTGCAGGAACAAAGCAGCTGCAGGAACAGAATAACTACAGGAACATAACAACAGCAGGAAAAGAGCAACTGTAGGATCAGAGCAACTGTAGGATCAGAGCAACTAAAGGAACATAGCAACTGCAAGAACAGAATAACTACACGAACAGAATTACTACACGAACAGAGCAGCTGCAGGATCAGAGCAACTACAGGAACATAGCAACTACAGGAACAGAATAACTACAGGAACATAGCAACTGCAGGAACAGAGCAACTGCAGGAACATACCAACTGAAAAAACAGAATAACTGCAGGAACTTAGTAACTGCAGGAACAGAATAACTACCGGAACAGAATAACTTCAGGAACAGAGCAACTGTAGGATCAGAGCCACTAAATGAACATAGCAACTGCAAGAACAGAATAACTACAGGAACAGAATAACTACAGAAACAGAGCAACTGCAGGATCAGAGCAACTACAGAACATAGCATCTGCAGGAACGCCAAACATGGACTTTGTGACAAAGACTATAAATACCTACTCTTCTACTACTACTGCTGCGGCTGTGGCTGCGGCTGCGGCTGCAAGATCGGTTGCTACAACTGTTACTACTTCTGCTACCACCATATTTATAATAGCAACAAAAACACAATCAGCGACAGCAGCAGCAACAACAGAACAACAACTACTGTTCTACTGCTACCATCACCACCAGAACCACTATTGTATATTTTCACCCCTCTGAGATTGTCTCGAATCTAACGACAGGAGTTTTCAGTCATCTCCCCGTCGTGTTACAAACAGTATCGGCTCCACAAGAACGCCTGCACTTTAATTATATCAGCGTCAGAAACATAATGAACACTGACGCTGCCATCAAGTATGTAATTAGATTTTCATGTCTTCCTTCTTCGTGTTTCTTATTTTAGCCGTTATAAATTTTCCTAAAACTAATCTATTAAGATGACAGAAAATGCAATGGTTCGGACAGTTAACAAGATCTACTGGCCTCTCCAAAACAAAACTAAATGGCTCTGTACTGGGGAAGGGGAAATGAGGCAGACTAAAAAAGATATCGGTAAAGAATTTGGCTGAATGTACACACCTCAAACACAGAAACAGCGACTTCATGGCCTCTGACTGACAGAACTGAAGGAAACTGATCGGTCAACAGCTGGAGGGAACTGATGAGTCAACGCTTGAAGGGAACTGATGAGTCAACGGTTGGAAATAACTGACCCGTCAATAGCTGGAGGGAACTAATGAGTCATAGAGGGCTGGGGGGGGGGGAACTGATGAGTCAATAGTTGGAGGGAACTGATCATTAAACAGCTGGAGGGAACTGATGAGTCAACAGTTGGAGGAAACTGATCAGTCAATAGCTGGAGGGAACTGATGAGTCAACAGTTGGAGGAAACTGATAAGTCAACAGTTGGAGGGAACTAATACATATATTCGACTTCAATATTATAAAACGAGTTACAGTAAGTTAAAGAAAGTCTTTAGTCACGTGATTGAACTTTAGTTAGTTAAGCCTGTGGTAAAGAAAAATTATATTTAGTAAGGCAAGTAAAGCCTTAAATGGGTTAAGATTATCTTTAATAAATTAAGTGAAGCCTTTAGTGAGGTAAGATCATCTTTAGCATTTTAAGGAAAGTGTTTAGTGAGGTATGATTTTACTTTAGCAAGTTAAGAAAATCCTTTGGTGAGGTTCGATTATCTCTGTTAAGTTAAGGAAAGCTTTTAGTGAGAAAAGATTATCTTTAGTTAAGGAGAGCCTCTAGTGAGGTAAACTTATCTTTAGTAAGCTAAGTAAAGCCTTTGGTAAAGTAAGATAATCTTTAGTAAGCTAATGAAAGCCTTTAGTGAGGCAAGATTATCTTTTAATTTGTTTTTATTTCTAGTAAAGGACCGTCTTTTAAGAGATTAAATGACCTTTAGTAAGTTAGGGAAAGCATTAAGTATGATGCGCTTCGATCTGTTAATGTAAAGCCTTACATAAATTAACATGAACTTAAGCACCTTAAGACCTTTAAGATGGAATTACACAGCTCACTTCTGTTTTAGAAGACAGGCGTTAAAAACTAAAATGATATTTTAAAACATAAGATGCATTTTAGTAAATCTTTAATACAGTTCAAATTACCTTGATCTCACTTAATATTATGAGATGAGGTTCAACATACTAAGATAAACCTAATTAAGTTACGGTACATCTTTAGTAAGTTAAACCTATCTACAGTAAATTAAGATTATCTGTACCACACTTCAGTTTTCAGATGCGCTTTAAGAAGTTAAGGTAAAATTTAGTGAAACTAAGACGAACTTCTGTCTGTTAAGAAGAGCTTTAATAAGTAAAAAGAGCTTCTATTTGAGTAAAGATGACCTTAAGGACAGAATGGCGTACAACTCAGTTCTGTATTAGAAAACTAGCATAGGTAACAGTTGAAGATGTTTATTATTTAATTAATAATCGACATCACAGCACACGGGATATTCCTATAAGCGCTGCGTCCCCATCTTTAGCAGCAAGCTCATTTCCAATTCCGATGGTATCAATAGTAGTCTGACTGTACATCCGTCTCACCTTTCCTTTGAGTGCTGATCACTGACCCGATCCCCAGGTCACCACTTGCAGTAACATTCTTTTTAGACCACGATGATCCATCCATCTGTGCTTCCGCACCGTTCACCCACCCCCAACGGGCCCTTTCAACATCTAACTTGTCATGCATCAATCCATCACTAAGTTGCGCAGAGCCAGCCAGGCTATCTGCCTGTTCATTTCCCAATACACCGGCATATGTGGGGGAAATATATAAAAGACGCTAACTACCCTGGACCTCTAAAGCAATGCTTATCACTCTTTAGGGAGCACAGCGGTCTCTACCTTTCTCAACACGAGCCTATCTGTAATAGTGGGCAGACCAATTGCATATAGCATTTATACTACGTGGGCATTTCTTGTTCACCCTAGAATTACTCTCATGGCTTCCTTTCTGTGGTCGTTCAACTTTCAACAGCTGATACTTTGAGATGGTAGGCATTTCAAGCAGAACGCCATATCCCTCAAGTCTTCATTGCTCATGTCATTTATGTTGGCAAACCTGACTTCGCCCGGTACGGGCTCGGCGTCTTTTGCTTTCTGCAAGATTTGTTTTATATCATCCAAACTTCTAATCTTCTGGTAGCAATAATCATTAATGGTACTCCAAAGATTATCCCTCCAAAGATTATCCCTCCAAAGATTATCCCTCCAAAGATTATCCCTAACTGAATTTCTAACTTCTCTATCAACAAGATCACTGTGTCCTATAAATCTCTGCAAAAATGCTTTCCCCTAAACTTTATCTGTTGTCATGTGCATTCTAGTATCTATGTATTTAATGCCTTTTGTGATAAGAAGCTGAGAAATATTGACATCTTAACAGATCTGAACATCAAGGAAGATTGGCTAATAAACAGCATCCTTTCTCGAAAGCTGAAATATTTTGGTCATATCAAGCGCCACGACGGAGTGGAAAAAATTATAGTAGAAGGCATGGTACCAGGAAGGAGGGGCAGGAGCCGACCGACACGAAGATAGGCACAGGATATAAGTGACTCCTTGAGTGTGAAAATGCATGAGGCGGGAGAACTGGCGAGAGACCGAGTTTCTTTCAGGCAGACTGTGATGAGAGCGACGTTCTGCAAAGGACCTGCTACATGATGATGTGATAGGACAATCCTTTCTTTTTGCCTGCCTGTGAAGTTTCCAGAACCTACTCAGTGATCTATCCCCTCCAATTTCATTCATACAATTTTGGTAACTTAGGATAGAAATTGGACATGCAAGGTGAAGCTTGGTGAATTAACATTCGCTTTAATTAATTAAGCTTCATTATGTAGTAGTAAGAATTACTCTAATCTCAACCAACCCATTGTCAAAACCAACGAAAGACACACAAGTTGCCCGCAGCCCGGATCGAACTCTTTATCTGCAACGTACAAGCTACAGAGGCTTAAGTAAGTCAAGCTAGTAAGTTAAACTTAGCTACAGTAAGTTAAGATAACATATACCCCACCTCAGTTTTTAAGAGAAGTTAAGAATGAGATTGAGTATAGTTAAGGGGAGTTTTAATAAGTTAAGATTAGCTTCAGTAAGTAAGGCTACCTTTGAGATAAACGTACGGACTTTTCATTCAGTGTGGGAGCCACCGTGATGTAGCGGCTAGACGCTCGTCTGCGAATGCGGAGGTTGTGGGTTCAGAACCTGACGGAGCCGGAATTTGTCAACAAATAATATTGTCTCCCATGTTAACCCAGCCTTAAAAGGATACCAGGTAAAGTTCTGGGAAGTAAAGGGGACCGGCTTTTACTCTTACACTTCAGTGTTAGATCAGCTTTAGAAATTAAAAAAAAAAAGCTTCAAAAATTTGCAATGAACTTAACTTACATGAAATTTATATTAAAGTTAAAACCACATCTATCTGACTTTACTTTTAAAAACGAGCTTGAACATAGTAAGATAAGCATAGTTCAGTTCAGATGAAATCTTTAGTACTTAAAGTTTAGCAATAGAAAGGAAGTAATGCAGGTCAATACTTGCACTCACGTACCATCCAAAATAATGTTTCGTTAGCAAAGTTGGTGTATTGTTCTATTGTAGACAACACACTGAATATCAAACAGATGAGCACCATCATGAACCTGCAATGGAAATAAACAGTGAAAGCTTACAGGCAAAGCCACCATATATTCACATAAACAATATAGGCATATACAGTAATAATACACTTAAAAGGTTAGTTGCGTTTCCTTTACAGGACGTTGTAGAACCAACCCCAGCATTTGTTGGCTTTTGTGGTTTTTCTAGGCAACTCAAGAAAAACGCTTAAAACTCAGGAATTTACAAACGCTTGCTTTTTCAGCGACTCAATGAGCATGCTACTGAAGATCAAGGCGGGGCATATACGGAAACAGTGGCTCCGTCTGTTACAGCACGCAGCGTTTCGCAAAATCACATTCACTTTTGTCCCTGGGTACGCTGGTGTGTAGGTAGTGAGAAAGCAGACATCGTGTCTGGCAGTGTGGCTATCAGGAATGGGTCATCTATAGACAGGGAGACATTATCAACGCCATACGAGAGACTAAACGCTGTGAGGCTTTTAGTTTTGTGAAACATGATTTTTTCACTGAACAACGGGTGTACCAGTTAGAGAAGCGAGACAGGAAAAACCACGCAGGAGCCACCCGTTGTTACATTAACCAGAATAGAATGGGAGTTGTTAGTCTAAAAACACTTAGAGACATACTCAGGAGGAGATCGGAGCACTTGTGGTCAAGTCCGATGTGCGATGAAGATGATCTTTAAATGAACAACGAACAATGAGCAATGTTACGAATATCCAGAGTTTTATGAACGTGACATCACGGGCGAAAACGATGACGTCAGAATGACAGTTTAAAGGTAATCGGCCTACTTTTTACATGTAGCGAAGACCCCATTGTAGGGGAAAACAAGAATAGACCCACTGCCTCCTCAAAAGCATGTCGTAAGAGCCGACTAATTGGGGAGCTTCCTTTGAAGTCGGAGTGCATCTGCCGGAGAGGCAAGGAACCATCAGTCTGTATTCAAGAGAATGAGATCTGTAAAACTGATGCACACGCAACACTTAGGTTCTGGAGCAGGACTGCAGTTCAGTAGTGGACGAACAACCAGAACTTTCCGCCAGAGTGTACAGCTGGTGAACGTGAAGAAGAAGAAGAAGAATGTAGCAAAGAGGACAGTGTTCTGTTATCCGTTTAAAAAACATACACATAATCAGTGAATAGATATACCTTACAGAAATGTTCCCCAGTATCATGATACACACTTATCGGTCTAGATCTGCGGTTCTCAACCTGCCAGTCGCGACCCTTTTTTCCCCCACAGGGGTCGCCTAAGACCATCGAAAAACATATTTATTGAAGTTATGAACGAAAACAATTGTTTGGGGTTCGCTACAACAAGAGAGAACTGCATTAAAGGGTGGCGGTATGAAGAAGATTAAGAGCCAACTGTCTAGATAGTGTATTTGTGAAGTAGGAAGTGACTGGGCCAGTCACAAAACATAACAAGAATACACCAATGATGAGAAATACAGTGAAATGTGAATAAATGTTTCTACCTTGAATAAATTATCAGATGGACTCTGAAGCAGAAATAAATGAATAAATTGCAATAACTATGTTATTTATGTTATCAAAATTTTCATTGACATCACACTCCTATTTAATTATGTAATGAATGTTAATTTTGAGAGTAATTATGTCAGAGAAGTCATTGATGTCTCAGTCTTTATTAGTTATTTTTTAAACATTGTCATTGATCTCACAAAAGTTGTCATTGACGACTGAAACTCAAAAAGAAAACACAACACACACACACATACAAACAGTGGCTGTTTTTGCTGCATAAGAAGAAGACGACGACGACGACGACGAAGAAGAAGAAGAAGAAGAAGAAGAAGAAGAAGAAGAAGAAGAAGAAGAAGAAGAAGAAGAAGAAGAACAACAACAACAACAACAACAACAACAACAACAACAACAACAAGTACAAGAAGAAATGAAGAAGAAGAAGAAGAAGACGAAAATGAAGAAAAAGAAGAAGAAGAAGAAGAAGAAGAAGAAGAAGAAGAAGAAGAAGAAGAAGAAGAAGAAGAAGAAGAAGAAGAAGAAGAAGAAGAAGAAGAAGAAGAAGAAGAAGAAGAAGAAGAAGTGACAGAAGGAGACGAAGAGGAGGAGAAAGAAGAAGAAGAATAAGAAAATGAAGAAGAAAAAATAGAAGAAGAAGAAGAAGAAGAAGAAGAAGAAGAAGAAGAAGAAGAAGAAGAAGAAGAAGAAGAAGAAGAAGAAGAAGAAGAAGAAGAAGAAGAAGAAGAAGAAGAAGAAGAAGAAGAAGAAGAAGAAGAAGAAGAAGAAGAAGAAGAAGAAGAAGAAGAAGAAGAATAAGAAGAAGAAAAACTTGGACTGCATGTTCAAATCAAACCCACAATGATTGAACAGGCTACTTCATTTTCTATATAAAAACACAACTGGAACAAGCAAACTTGTTACTACATAAGCCTGGTATACAAATGTAAATGTATTTTATTTTGAAATGCTACGGGAACATGAAAGTACTAACACCCGATCTACATATATAAAATGCCACTGTTACAGCTGTTTGTGAATATATTTGTTTTGGCACATGGTTTATGCAATGACCTATATTGTATAGTTTTGACCTATATATTTTTTTTTAAAATATGCTACACGATTTTGTGTTGTACTTCAATGGAATTCATGAAATCCAACGGCTTTCATTATCTAGAACAGTGGGCAAGTGGTGCTGTGTGATCTGCCGACCAGAATTTAAGGTGTCCTTGATATATTGCCATTACTGTCTGTATTCAACACTTTTTTTGAGCTTTAGGATTTAGGGTCGTATGACTTTCCAGTCGAAAGTCCTGTGAGGTGGCATAGGACTCACTGCCAATGGCGTTGACGAGTGTGAACTACTTGATGCACAGGCTTTCACAGTTTGTGTTTCGGATTTTGTCCAAGCTCCAAGCACAGGCTGAAGCATGCAGGTTGTGGTGAATCAACACCTTATTGGCCGGGGGCTGCCCAGTTTGAGGCGGGCGGTTTGCTGATTAGTGACTTTGTGGAAATATATCTCACCGTCAGAGGCAACTCCTGGTGGATAGATACAGAGCTTTGGTTGGCAACTCTATCATCTTATCGCTTCTACACCCTTACTCCTTTAAACTTATCTCATATTTCTTTACAAGAGTATCGTCAGTGGATACTGCAGTATCAAACAAATTGCCCCCAAACTGCCGTAAAATGCGGTTAATTCTAGCGGCTTGCTAGCCTTGGATGTGTTAGGCCGAAAAATGCAGCAGATTTAGAGCCTATTTGTAAACTACAACAACACGTTTAGGGGCGAACACAAACGAAGAAGACGAATACAACCGGTGACTTTAATGCAGATATGAATCCAACAGGAGCTAATACCAAATACCCGGTTTAACGGTAGAACACTTATGTTAGAGCATCTTATATTTAGCAAGAAACCTACTGTTCTATGTGGGAGGTTTAAATTGTCTTCCCTTTTATGCTTTGCTGAACTTTTTTTTTTTTTTTTAAAAGCTACAGGCGGAGCATTAGATTATAATTGTGACTATGTTGTGTGCGCCACATAAAATGGCCTAGGATTGCCCGCCACCAAGAGCTCTGACAAGGCAATGTTGATGCGATGAAAAGAGATAGACCCAAATACTGTCCCAACCAGCGACTGAGTCGTCTACCGGCAAAATAATGGGCGACCCGCTCGCCGATGTCTCTTCTTTTTGGGTGCATTTTTGCTTGCCCCTTTTAATGTTTTCAGAGTGTGGCCAAGTCGGGACTTTCGTGAAGTTTGGTGATTTACTTGTCGACCGTTCTTTGTGGCTTGCCTGAATGGCAGAAATCACCATGGTTGGCACTTGTATCTAATATTTGTCGATCTGCTGAAGAAACTGGATATCTCTGTCTAAAGTGACTACTTTACGTTATGTCTAAAGTGACTACTTTACGTTATGTCTAAAGTGACTACTTTACGTTATGTGTAAAGTGACTACTTTACGTTATGTGTAAAGTGACTACTTTACGTTATGTCTAAAGTGACTACTTTACGTTATGTCTAAAGTGACTACTTTACGTTATGTCTAAAGTGACTACTTTACGTTATGTCTAAAGTGACTACTTTACGTTATGTCTAAAGTGGAAGTGTTGTTATTTACTCGAGAAACGAAAAGTTTTGTTATGGACAGTGTTCATCTTTTGTCTAGACTGTAATGTATTTGATTGACGAAATGTTGACTGACTATGTACACTTACTGTTTATCGTTTGTCTGTAGTAAAACTTAATGTATTCACTGGAGTAAATATGGGCTTATTATGTAAAGTAACTCACTGTCGTTTGTCTGTAGTAAAAGTTAATGTACTCACTGGAGTAAATATGGGCTTATTATGTAAAGTAACTCACTGTCGTTTGTCTGTAGTAAAAGTTAATGTACTCACTGGAGTAAATATGGGCTTATTATGTAAAGTAACTCACTGTCGTTTGTCTGTAGTAAAAGTTAATGTACTCACTGGAGTAAATATGGGCTTATTATGTAAAGTAACTCACTGTCGTTTGTCTGTAGTAAAAGTTAATGTACTCACTGGAGTAAATATGGGCTTATTATGTAAAGTAACTCACTATCGTTTGTCTGTAGTAAAACTTAATGTACTCACTGGAGTAAATATGGGCTGATTATGTAAAGTAACTCACTATCGTTTGTCTGTAGTAAAACTTAATGTACTCACTGGAGTAAATATGGGCTTATTATGTAAAGTAACTCACTATCGTTTGTCTGTAGTAAAACTTAATATACTCACTAGAGTAAATATGGGCTGATTATGTAAAGTAACTCACTATCGTTTGTCTGTAGTAAAACTTAATGTACTCACTGGAGAAAATATGGGCTGATTATGTAAAGTAACTCACTATCGTTTGTCTGTAGTAAAACTTAATGTACTCACTGGAGTAAATATGGGCTGATTATGTAAAGTAACTCACTATCGTTTGTCTGTAGTAAAACTTAATGTACTCACTGGAGTAAATATGGGCTGATTATGTAAAGTAACTCACTATCGTTTGT